CCGACTGCTTCGCCGACGCCGTCAAGAACGGCGGCGCCTGCCCCGGCTGCAAGGACCCCTACAAGGCCACCGAGCTCGACGACGTGGTCGGTGCGAGGCCGACGCTGTCGCTGCCTCCGCCGCCCGGTGGCTTGCCGGCGTCGAGGATGGAGAGGCGGCTGTCGATAATGCGGTCGCAGAAGGCCATGACCAGGAGCCAGACCGGCGATTGGGATCACAATCGGTGGCTGTTCGAGACCAAGGGGACATACGGGTATGGCAATGCCATTTGGCCCAAGGAGAACGAGGTCGACAATGGCGGTGGCGGTGGCGGAGGCGGCGGGCTGGGTGGAGGCGACGGCCAGCCGGCAGAGTTCACGAGCAAGCCATGGAGGCCGCTCACTCGCAAGCTCAAGATTCCTGCGGGTGTCCTTAGCCCATACAGGTGAATGGCTCACATGTCCATCCATGTGCTCACATTTGACTGATTGGATCCGTTGATCTGGTAGAAAGTACTATATTGTTTTGAGATGCATTTGATTTGTTTAGTGTTGGAAATGAAACTAAAAAACAAACCTGGATTTGTAGATATATACTCCCAGCTGTTAGATCTCTGCTCAATAGATAAATATGTTAGCTGACTTGTTAGATCTGTTCTATTTCCTCTGATCTCTCCAGCTTCCAAACAAATACACAATATTATAGCTAATCTTATAATTCAGTTTATAGATGCTAACCTTAGTTTGGTTGTTCCATGCAGGCTTCTTATTCTTATTCGTATGGCTGTTCTTGGTCTATTCCTTGCATGGAGAATTAAGCACAAGAATGAGGATGCAATGTGGCTATGGGGCATGTCTGTTGTTTGCGAACTCTGGTTTGGCCTCTCTTGGCTCTTGGATCAGCTGCCAAAGTTGTGCCCTGTTAACCGAGCAACTGACCTTGCTGTCCTGAAAGATAAGTTTGAGACCCCGACGCCATCAAATCCTAACGGAAGATCTGACCTGCCGGGGCTCGATATATTTGTGTCTACTGCTGATCCAGAAAAAGAACCCCCATTGGTCACAGCAAATACTATTCTGTCCATCCTTGCTGCTGATTATCCTGTTGAGAAGCTTTCTTGCTATGTTTCTGATGATGGAGGCGCTCTCCTGACATTTGAAGCAATGGCTGAAGCCGCTAGCTTTGCAAACATGTGGGTTCCTTTCTGTCGCAAACATGACATTGAGCCTCGCAACCCAGAGAGCTACTTTAATCTGAAGAGGGACCCATACAAGAACAAGGTCCGTTCTGATTTTGTCAAGGACAGAAGAAGGGTGAAGAGGGAGTACGACGAGTTCAAGGTCAGGATCAATAGCTTGCCTGATTCAATCCGTCGCCGCTCCGATGCATATCATGCCAGGGAGGAAATCAAGGCCATGAAGCGGCAACGAGAGGCTGCTCTCGATGACGTGGTGGAGGCTGTTAAAATCCCTAAAGCTACCTGGATGGCTGATGGCACGCATTGGCCTGGTACCTGGATTCAGCCCTCTGCTGAGCATGCTCGGGGTGACCATGCTGGAATAATTCAGGTAGACATTCTTACATCACCTTTCTCCTTGCTTTTCATATATGGCTTTTCACATTCTTACATCACCTTTCTCCTTGCTTTTCATATATGGCTTGCAATCGAAATATATTAGCTAGCTGCATATAAACAGTATTGCACGTTTGCACAAATGATTACTGTTCATTTTTGTTTTTTCCCTTGAGCAGAAGCATGTGCATCCTTTTTACCGTTTTAATATCTAGCAGTATCTCTATGGGGCTTGCCTCTATCTATCTTGTAGTAGTGAACCAGGAAAATGCCACCTGTTTGATCATTGCCGTATTGTGTTCAGGTAATGCTGAAACCTCCTAGTGATGATCCCTTGTATGGAACCAGCGGTGAAGAAGGCAGACCTCTTGATTTCACTGAGGTTGACATCCGTTTGCCAATGTTGGTCTATGTGTCCCGAGAGAAGCGTCCTGGTTATGATCACAACAAGAAGGCTGGTGCGATGAATGCGTTGGTCCGCTCATCTGCTGTCATGTCAAATGGACCTTTCATCCTCAACCTTGATTGTGATCACTATGTTTACAACTCACAAGCTTTCCGTGAAGGCATGTGCTTCATGATGGATCGTGGTGGTGACCGTATTGGCTATGTCCAGTTCCCTCAACGGTTTGAGGGCATTGATCCATCAGATCGATATGCTAACCACAACACTGTCTTCTTCGATGTCAACATGCGTGCACTTGATGGTATCATGGGACCAGTCTACGTCGGCACTGGATGTCTTTTCCGTCGCATCGCTTTGTATGGATTTGACCCACCGCGCTCCAAGGAACATAGTGGTTGCTGCAGCTGTTGCTTCCCCCAGAGGCGCAAGGTTAAAACTTCCACAGTTGCATCTGAAGAGAGGCAGGCTTTGAGAATGGCAGATTTTGATGATGAGGAAATGAACATGTCACAATTTCCCAAGAAGTTCGGTAATTCAAACTTCCTCATCAACTCTATCCCAATTGCTGAATTCCAAGGGCGACCTCTTGCTGACCATCCTGGAGTCAAAAATGGACGTCCTCCTGGTGCTCTCACCGTCCCTCGCGACCTTCTCGATGCTTCCACAGTTGCTGAGGCTATCAGTGTCATCTCATGCTGGTATGAAGATAAGACTGAGTGGGGTCAGCGTGTTGGATGGATCTATGGTTCAGTCACAGAGGATGTGGTCACTGGTTACAGGATGCACAACCGTGGATGGAAATCAGTTTACTGTGTCACCAAACGTGATGCTTTCCGTGGCACTGCACCAATCAACCTTACTGACCGTCTTCATCAGGTGCTCCGGTGGGCTACTGGTTCAGTGGAAATCTTCTTCTCCCGCAACAATGCACTACTTGCAAGCCGAAAGATGAAGTTTCTTCAGAGGATTGCATACCTGAACGTTGGCATTTACCCCTTCACATCAATCTTCCTCATTGTCTACTGCTTCCTGCCAGCCCTGTCCCTCTTCTCGGGACAGTTCATTGTGCGGACGCTAAATGTGACCTTCCTGACCTATCTGCTCGTTATCACTCTGACAATGTGCATGCTTGCGGTGCTCGAGATCAAGTGGTCAGGCATCAGCTTGGAGGAATGGTGGAGGAATGAGCAGTTCTGGCTAATCGGAGGAACTAGCGCCCACCTTGCTGCTGTTCTTCAGGGTCTTCTCAAGGTGATTGCTGGTATCGAGATCTCCTTCACGCTGACATCCAAATCTGGAGGAGATGAAGCAGACGACGAGTTTGCTGATCTCTACATCGTCAAGTGGACATCACTCATGATCCCACCGATCGTCATCATGATGGTTAACCTGATCGCCATCGCTGTCGGGTTCAGCAGGACAATATACAGTGAAATCCCTCAGTGGAGCAAGCTCCTCGGCGGCGTGTTCTTCAGCTTCTGGGTGCTGGCTCACCTTTACCCCTTCGCCAAGGGGCTAATGGGAAGGAGAGGACGAACACCGACCATCGTCTTCGTCTGGTCTGGCCTCCTTGCCATCACCATCTCATTGCTGTGGGTTGCCATCAATCCGCCGTCACAGAACTCGCAGATAGGCGGCTCCTTCACATTCCCCTGAGCTTCCTCATGAACATGAACCTTTTGTATGATGAATTATAAGAGTGGTCCCAGTAGCAGTTGTCCTTGCTGTTGGACAAGTAAATTCTTTACCTATGTTTACTTAGGTTTTTCTTTTTTTTTTGGGTCGAAGATGATACTATTATGAATCATGCATGATACTAGTTCTTTTGTTCGTTTTTGTGCCAAAATGAGAAGAGGTTCTGTTTGGACCTGAACATCAATCAATTGCAAAAATTCGGAGACTAGGAAGTTCAGAGTTGCACTCCTGCACTTCTTTGGAGCTCTTCCATTCTGCATAACTGCGCTGTCTACTTGTATTGCATTTGCCTACTCTTAATCCTTCACTTTGCAGTAGTACTATCATTCTTGATGCTTTCCTTTTCATTACACTTGGTCGTTACGAGCAGGTAAGAATGGCTTAGTATTTTTCAACACGGAAATTTCTCTGACGGTGTAGTAGCAGAGAAAGTGTTGCATGACACGGTCAGAGCTTGTGCTGCCTGCAAGGCAAAGACCAATTCTTGCTGTGTTTGTTCGAGTGTTGCTTTTAGCTAGCATTGCTTTCAGTTGTGACTTCTGACGTGGATATTTTTGGAGAATCATTATTGTCTGAAGGAGTATTCGCCTCTTTTTCTGGGTGTGACTACTTGTAATTGACTGACGCCATACTGGCTGGGTCAACTATACCGTACAGCGGTGTGAGCTTTCAAAAACACGTCACAACTGAAAGAAAACGATACTGAAGAAAAGAGGAAAAATCATGTCATCTACTAGTACAAAGTACTCCCAACTACTACTACTACTGATCAGCACAACATTTTATCCATCGTTGTCGTTCTACTTTCACTTTCCAAACTGGCTTTTGCAGTTTCTACTGCCTTCTCTCAGCAAAACTTGCACAATACTACCATAGAGCAACCACCATTGCTTTTGCAGTTTTGCTTCTTCTCGATGAAAATTACCCCACGCTTGCACCTTTCAGAAGAAGAAAAACTCTGGTTTGGTTAAAATGCTACCTAAAACATGGATATTACAGAGTAATTTCCTCAAATATCATTCATGTGATAAGAGTAGTGTCTACCATCAATACCAAAAGATAATTTATTTCATGAAGTGCAATTTGTGGATGGTGGAATTGAACAAAGCATCACTTAAAAGTATGCTACTATTGACCGGCACACAACATTTCATCCATCGTGGTTGTACTTTCACTGTCCAAACTGGACTACGCCAAGCAGTTTCTACTGCCTTCCCGGCACCACTTGCTAGATGCAACCACCATTGCTTTTTGCTTCTTCCAGATAAAAATTTACACCCTTTTATATGCACAAAACTCACCACGATAGACACTAGTTTGGTTGAAATGCAACAGATAGTATGGACATTGCAGAGTAATTTCCTCAATATCATTCATATAAGTTATAACAGAGAAGTGTCTACCATCAATACCAAAAGATGATTCATTTCATGCACTGAAAGTTGTTGATGGTGGAATTGAACACAGCATCAGGTACAAGTATCCCGCTATCTAAATCTCTACCTTGACGAGGAGCCATAAGCATGGAGGAACATACATCCAAAGCAGGTGAAGCAAATGCATCACCGGATCATTTCACTAGGCAGACCACCACAGACCTATGACCTCCGACAAATTCTACAGTATGAACAATCCTATCAGCTAAGATACTTTCTCGAAGTTACCACATCGGCTATTTCTGCTGATTGTCATGCAGCAACTCAGAAGGCAATGATGCAGGGTCAAGCTCCCAGCAATCAGTAGGAGGCAGGGTTGAGCCTTCACCCTTGGGCGCTCTCCTCGCCGGAATCTGATGCGAGAGTTTCCCCATATCTCCCTTGTGAAGGGTCTGGACAGCATCGCGACCGACATCCTGGCGGGTAAAGATGCTCCTGAAACCTTCCACCTTCTCCAGGTAGCCGAAGCTGGCACCATAAAGGTCACTGTACCCACTGAGGAACACCACAAACTCATACTTTGGCCTCCCCGAATCGGCATCCTTTCCGCCATGGAGCGCCCAAACCGAGCCCTTCTTGGGGTAAATCCGGTACACCTCCCTCGCCACCCTCTCATAGGCGACCTGATGCGAGAAGATGTTCACTGAATGCACGGTAACCGTTCTCCCGACCTTGAACTCCCCACATGGCGTCCCCTCCCCTCCATCTGGCTGGAGATCAAGCCACCTTATCTGTGCACGGAATCGGCCCCCTGGTGTAATCATCTCCACCAGCGCATAGTGACGAGGCATACCGTCATCATCACCGTACAATGCCCACACCTGGCCTCTCTTGAAGCACTTCTCGCAGCGGTCGGCGTCGAAGTTGTAGAAGTCTGAGTCCTCCACATCCATCATCTCAGAGTCGTTGTTCTGCTGCTGCTCCTCTCCCTCATCATCGTCATCGTCATCGTCATTGTCATCGTCGTCATCCTCGTCGAGTCTGGATGAGTTGTTGGTTGCTCTTTTCTTGGAGAGCTGGAGCTGCATCTCGGCGAGCGTCATCTCACGCTTCTGGGTTTTGGGCTTCTTCTTAGCCGGCGGCAGCGGGTCTGGCTCCGCCTCCGCCTCAGCCTCCGGCGGAGGGGGCACTTCGGAGGCGAGGAAGGTGCGGCGGCAGGAGGGGCACATGAGGCGGAATCCGACGTACTTGCGGTCGAACTCATGGAGGAGGCGGCAGCCGGCGCAGGCCGTCCAGAAGGTGGGCGGGACGGGGGCGGCGGCCTGGTTGGCGAGCGCGGCGTAGGCGTCGGCGGCGCGGCGGAGCGCCTCCTTGACGGCGGAGGAGACGGCGGGGGAAGAGGAGGGCGGGGCGGAGCGGAGGGATTCGGAGAGGGATTTGTAGTGGCGGCGGAGGGCGGAGGGTGAGAGGGGCGAGGCCTGGGAGTGGGGGGAGTCGGGGAGGAGGAGGGTGGCGCGGTGGGAGGAGTCGTCGGCGGCGAGGACGGAGACGGCGGTGAGGAGGAGCGAGGCGCGGGTGGAGTCCGGGTCGAGGCGGGCGGCGCGGCGGGCGTGCTTGTGCGCGGCGCGGAGGCGGCCGGCCTCGAGGTCGGCCTCGGCCAGGGAGAGGAGGCGCGAGAGCTCGTCGTCGTCGTCGTCGTCCGCATCGGCGGCGCGGGAGGGCCCGCCGGGCATCGGCGGCGGGTGGTGGGTGGTTGCGGGTGTGGGGGTTTGGTCGCCGCGCCGCCTCAACCTGGCTTGGTTGAGTCGAGTTGAGTTGAGTGTGTGAGAGAGATGGAGAGAGGCTGCTATTCTATTTGGTGTGGGCTTTGGTGGGCCTTGGACTGCTGCTACCTTAGCCAACCCAACACAAGCTTGGCCTTCTCTTCTTATAAAGGCTTCTTTAATTCTTTTGCATTCGCTTGCTTCTACTCTCTCTTTGTGCTACCCTTTAGCACTTTGTGAATTGCGAACGAGTTGGTTAGCAAGTTACTAGTGTATACTATACTACTACATAAACATTTAGATTTCGGGTGCAACTTAACTTTTCCTTTTTGTCGTAAATGGTACTCACATTGAGTATCATTCGGACCCTACCCTTGGATTTTTGGGAGCAACTTAACGAACTCACAGCGCGTTGTCGCAAATGGTACTCGGATTTGAGTAGAGACTACCCAAAATGCTGTTGAAACAGAGGCCCACGAGAAGACCATTTGAACTGGAGAGCTTACGGTTAATCTGAATCACAAGGACGAATTGGCATACTGCACAACATCTCAGTCACCACCAATACAGCAGAGGTTCGGTGACTTCGGTCCCGTGCAGCAAGGATTCCCCCGATAAGGGCTCCTTCGAAAAGCAGAAATTTTTACATGATTTACACAGCAAACAATTCAATTCCTTCAAAATTCCCGCGAAATTCCTCTAAACCCAACAGGCCTTAATTAATACGGGCCATTTGCATCCCTAAACCAAGCTGCCCGGGTAAGGCAAAGCTGAACAAGACCCCAGTTGAGTGTGTAGTTTGTTTGGTCAAATCACAGCCTTAAGAATGCATAACTGAAGTAAGCAGCGGCTGCTTGATAGCCCTGCAGAGTAACGGAAGTGGTTTTACATATGGGGAAAACACTCATGTTGTGAAATTGAATTTTTGACGTTCAAAACCTTGTGCCTAGTTACCGGAGTCCATACGTCGTCCTGTTTCATTTTGCACTTCTTCACTGTTGCTAATTTGCAGGAAGACCAGCAGCTTCTGCAATTCTTCCATTGTTGGCTAGTTCAGAAGACTACTTCAAAAGTAAACATTGCACTCAGAACAGTAAATGATGTGCGTCTTACCAGGAGGGAAAATGTTCTCGTTGTATAATCATAGCAGGATGGATATGATGCTGACTAGCTGAGCTCTCGGTACAGCAATGCGAAGCAAACTATCTGCCCTCCAATTATTCGGCTTGAAGCTATGAGCTGATTGTGAGACAGTGTAGTTGATCATCTCTGCATCCAACAAAGATGCGTCCACCAACCATCAAGGGCGATGAGAAGATGTCCCCAGGAAGATCTATTGCAGCAAATCCTTGCACCAAGTCATTACAAATACTTCCATTAACTTTCTCTTCCTTAGCATCAGCTCTAATCCTAATGACATGGACCTGTCCCGAACTCGTGCAGATACAAGCGAATCTATATATAAGAAAAGGTGTGGTCATTTTCTTGATACATGATCACTGCGTAACTATGTTATCAATATATGAAATACCTTTCAGATGCTCCAGGTGAGGTTGCTGTTAACACTTCATCGACAAAAGCAGATGCGGTAATAGGGTCTCCAACTTCATATTTCCAAAGAAGAGCACCAGATGTCTGTAAGAAAAAAAAATCACTCCACTACCTGTATTCTACACTACTTTAAAAGGTAGTAGTGGTGGCGGAAGTGAATCTGCCACCACCACCTATATCGCTGACATATGGGGCCTCCTCCTCGGTGAAACATACGTGCTCACTAAATTCAAACGGCCCCCACAAGAAGCATGTCTAAGCAAAATGATGTTAATATTTGTTTGGTAAGACCTGATAAGTATGTAGGGAAGTAATCCGTATAGTTAAAAGGAATTGGAAAGGGCCAGTTTGCAGATTCTTCAAAGAATGAGTGTGCACAACATGACTTATTTTTTGCTGTTGCAGTGCACATGCAATTTGCTAGTCTTTGCTAAAAGATGGGAATCAGAATTGTAATAAATTGCTAGGTACCAATCAATTGTGAAGATACCCTTTTGTTTTTCTGGTTATTTAGAAACACATTATGACACAGTTCAACGATTGAAGAGTTCTGTTTTAATTAACAGATAATCCCTTTCTAAAATTAGTTTCATTGACCACCCTTACGTTGAGGACTCCCTGAAATGGCTAAATTAGCATCAGGAAACAAGTACAGGAGCATGGCAGTGAGAGGTGTCCAATGATCAGTAATTGTAATTCGGGTGTGTTGTGTTTGAAAACACGAGCACCAAATATATTTTGAAACTGTTGTTTAAATACAGAGTTATTGTATGGTGCAGCATTCATGCAATACCATGCATAATTCATTACTCTATGCTAAAGTTCTGCTCACATAAGAGGTTCAAAATTCAGGAGATCAAAACTTACAGTATCAAAAGAGTATAATCTTCCGTCACGGGAAGGTATCAACACCTGCAAATGACATATATGTAAAAGATTTTCACTACACTTCACATGGAACTCCATAAGCTACAGATGTAACTTTTGATCATTAGTCAATGAAAAGACACATAAATTGATACCATACCTGAGTAGGAAGGCCAGATGACAAACATGCACCAGCAAAAATAGGACCACCAACAGATGCCTGTGGTTTTAAAAATTAGTTACTACATTGTTGAAAGCAACATCAATGTGTTTAGAAAGCACCAGGGCACACCACAATAAAACTGGATTTACTTTGGTAATCTAAGCTTGATTTTTTTTATAAGCCTAACCAACCAAACTATCATCTGGCATTACACCAATTCCTGCTCACATGGCACTAGACCCAAGCCCAACCCCATTTGCCTAACATGGGAGCCATTTTCTAACCCATTTATCCAACCCACCACTTGCTGGCACCAGCAGAATTAATAGTGGCATACTGCCATAGCTATCATAAGAGGTACTCAGTTTATATGTGCTCTAATGACACCTGCTTATAAGTTTGACCAAATACGAATAATGAATTTCCACTAGTATTTTACAGATGATCAACAACTACATCCATGATGTGTCATTCAATTGCAAAACTGTACTGTATAAAGCTGTTGCACCTTCCAAACGACAGAGCCATGTGAGTTCAATGCAATCACCAGACCATTCACCAGGCAGCAGATAACTGTAAATTGCAACTACAATCATCAGCAAAAACTGCATGCCATAAAAGTATATATTTGATCGAATCATAAAAGTATGTTTGATCCGTGTACACACATATACTACCAAACTATACATATGATATAGTTTTCACTGATCCTGTGGTACGCTGTACATATTGCATTTCTTTAAATCTTTTTTTGTGAGGAAATATAATAAAAACACAAGTAAGTGCATATTGAAGGATATCAATGCACATTGCAACATGTTTGAGGACTACCTTTTCCACCATGATGATGTATAGCAAGAGAACCGAAAATTGGTGCCCCGGCTTCATATTGCCAAATTATCTTAAATGACGATACCTGTTACCACAAAGAAACCACAAACCAGTGAATACTTCAAACATTAAGCTGCTAATGATGTTTTCGTTGATATCACCAAGTTCACAAAGACATCTCCCATGGAACCCAAAGAAGGAAAGAAATACCGATGAGAAGGAAAAGGCTGTATTTTTTCCCTAAATTAAAGTTATCACACTAAAACTCACCTCAAGTGATATTGCAGTCACAAGGCCACTCGTAGATGCAACATATATCATGTTGTGTGTCTGCAAGGAGCAATATAGATGACAAAGTATTTGTGGATAGCCTAGATGAAATAAATAACCATACTGTGAGGAAGAATACCATGTCTATAGCAGGAGAACCATAAATGCTTCCACCACAAGAAATTTTGTAAGTGCAGCAACGATCTTTGTAATTTAACGCATATAAATGGTGGTCATAAGAGCCACACCTGCAGATTATAAACCACATAGAATTAATAAAAAACTACAAGCTGAATCTCATCTTTTGTGTAAGGGTATGCATCTGTATGATCGAATAGGACATAGGATGAGAGACTATTGGTATTGGTTCCTCTCATCATCCTGTAAAGTTAGTCGAGACACCACCAATTGGATGTATGGTAAGAGGTCAAAGACAAACATATGTATTGCCATGACAAAACACTAGACTAAGACTAGAATGCCATAAGCCCCCTTACATGACTACCACATTCTAGTTGAAAGTAGAGAGGCTATTATTGGAACAAACATGCTTTGATCAGACCAGAGAAAAAGTATAAAGTGCAAAGGATAACGAGTACTAATGTACTATGGATGAAACAGTAAAATGGTACCATATTAAGTTCCTTATCATGTCCACAGCCGGTTGCATTTTTACCTGCAAGAAGATAGATACCTCAATCTGAGATTGTGAGACATGAACAGTGACAACATTCTGTGAGGTGATAGTGACCAGGAGAATAATAGCATATTGTTTTTCGAAAGTTCAGCATCAAAGCCATACTGAACTTGTTGGAACAAAATCCAACAGAACTAATAACTAGTCATGGCATAACTTCGAGACTGCTTTGCCTACTTCCATCCCCAACTTGCATGGCTAGATATGCGTAGACATGTGTGTCACTCTTCTAATGCATTTACTATTTTACTTGCATTCGTTGTAACACCCAATAGCATGTTGCTAGTTAATAGTAGGAAAAAACTGAAATAAACTCAATAAAAAGGACTCATAAGCCTCAATATAGCAAGACATTAAGACTTATTAGGCAGTACAAACCCTTGATTTCACGAAAAATAAAGTACTGTCCGTAATAAATCAATTAAATGAAGGCACCTTTTTGGATGCTCTTTCTTTAAGAAGAGATAGACACCTGCCACTATATATCTTTCCAGCTGATGCTTAATGGGAGGAACTTCTACAATCTACATAAATGTCCCCTTATCTTATTATTTACCATTAGCAATTAGGGAGTTACAGTATAGCCACTTCAATAATATGAAAATATAACAGGGATTATAGCCGAAACCCTAAATTTACTAGGAGTATATCTATAATTTATAATAATCAGTTCAGCGTCATTTCGGTATTATTCTGAAATGAAAGTACAACTTCTATGTCACTATAAGGCTTAAAAGATGTCTTGAATGAGAAAATTGCAGCAGCTGTACCTCTCCATCAGTCTGAATGGTCCAAGCTTGTTTTCCAGTTAACAGATCAAGGAAGTAGATTTTCCCTTTATAACATCCAACTACAACCTGCCCAAAAGATGTACTACCATGAACTGGCTGCAAGAATGCTAAGTGAATTCGTGCTGGTGTTTATTGTTGAGTTACCTCTGAAAAGTCACCTGTTATAGCAGCAGAACACTCTACACGTCCTTCCAATTTGACACTCCACCTCACAGAACCACTTCATATTATGTTGGGAGCAAGTTCAAACAACAGTTAGTATGCAAAGGTCAGAACCTAAATACTTCATTGAATCAAATTAAAATGAAACAAATCAATAATAAATTACTTTATATTAAATACACAACATGCCATTTCATAAGAACATTAGAGCGTATGTGGCACATTAGATTGTTCTAGATTCAACTTCAAAGTAAATCAGGAAAAGCAAAAGAAACAATGACTAGTTAAGATAAAAAAAAAACTCCTTGCAACAAGGAAAACTCACCTACAGCCATCAATGCAGAGAAATCTGTGTGAATGGGACCCGATAAATATACTCAGCATGCCATTGTTGGAGACAAGCAAAGGTGACGCGTCAACACATGAACCGAGAGGAATGTTCCAAAGGGCCTGAAGATAACCTCTTTTGTTGTAGGGAACATATGAGCAAACATCTTCAATTTGCAGCTTATCTTCGTATCCATGCATAAATCTATTGCAACGTCCAATAGACCATTTCTTTACTAAACAAAAATTCAAGATCCATGGACTGACATCGACACTGTTTCTGTCATTTGAGCATGTATCCAACAAGAGGGATTTTGTCTGGTATCTATCATTAGATAAAGGCACATTTCTGTTAAGCTGGCCATCTACTTCATTTGCATAATTCCCTGAAATGGCATCATGTGCACACTCTCCATCTCCATTTATATGTGCTTTTACTTCAGGAAAGTTATCATCTACACTTGTAGCGATCGGATTAAATGAGCTATGTATGCTGGAAGATATGTCCAATCCCTTCTTAGGGTGAGGCTCATGACTAGAAGAAAGTAAACAACCGTGCTTTGTAAATAAAGCATCCAAGAGCTTAGAAGGGGTGGAATATATATAAAGCATCCTCATGTCAATCTCCAGCTTGTGGGCTACGTGCGCAGCAGAAATTGAATTACCACCCAAGGTGAAGAAATCATCAAACTCGGAAACTTCATCAACAAGTAAGGCATCAGAAAATGCCTACAGTAGATAAGAGATGACATCAGTAAAAAATGATCATTATAATAATGAATACTCAAAGAATACAATAGCTCCAAAGAGAAACAAACAGAAACAAAATTAACAGTAGAGTAGACGGTAAAAACAAGAGAGTGCTTGAACAGACCTTTTTGATAACTTGCAAATGTGGATTAACTGTAATTCTTTCAGTTTCAGTTTCACAGGACTCCAAGGCACACTTCAAGCTTGATAGCTTCATATAATCAATCTTTCCTGAAGAAGTCAGAGGTAATGATTCCATGGGAAGGAAAAACCTTGGAATCATGGCTGGTGGAAGCTTCATTATGAGCCAACTTCGAATTGATGGCATGATAACTTCAAAAGATTTGTATCTTTTACGCCGCTGACAGTCTTCCACAGATGCGGCGCTACTCTTAAGCACCAGGTATGCCCTAAAATCCAGAAATTCATTATTTTGAAAAGTAACAGCAGCAGCACTGACATCTGGATGTTCATTTAAGGTAGATTCCACTTCCTGCAGTGAAAAACGCTGCCCATAAATTTTTACAGTACGGTCCTTTCTCCCAAGGAAAATAAATTCACCACTCTTTAAGCGTCGAGCAAAGTCACCGGTTCTGTAGTATGTTGAACTTCCATTGTCTTCAGTGTGATTACTCGCCATGGACTCTTCTAAATATCCAGCAAATAAACATGCTCCAGTGACATGCATTTCTCCTTCATCTGCTACCTCGGCGTCGGTTGCAATACAAACTTCACAATTTGAAATAGGAAATCCAATTGGTACACTAGTTAATTCTTCTCGCTTTAAAAGTATAGGCAGATCTGTGCAATCAAAAAATGTACAGTCACCAGAAACCTGAATCACAAGCGCAACATTTTATTAGCTAAAGAAGAAATATCACCACTGCCATTTCAGCTCCTTGCATGAGGAGAACAGGACCAATATAGCATAAATGAAACATGCTAGTTTCAAGATCACAGTTCGATGGCCTTCATATACCAAGTAATGATAAGTACGCTATATTGCTACACGAGTTACCTAACACCGTAACACGTGTTTCAGAATGGAACACTAACTGTACCTTTTCAATTTTCATATCATAATTCAAGACCAATTTAAATTATCATGAAGCAAATATCAAGTTTGATTCATGCTGAATAAAAAGGTGTAAGAGAATTTAACTACTCAACCCTTATGGCACATGTGCTCTTCATCATAACTCCCTTAAAGTTTTAGTATAACAGGAATCAGTAAAATGATGGTTAGGAAATGATGTGCAACCAAACCATGAATTACCACTCATGGTCACAAGCTTAATATTGCAAGAATATTTTACTGTAATTTATGCTAACAATAGTAAAGATGACACAAGTCATGCTCTCAATTCTGTGTACATGGAAAAGATGTGGTACAAATCAGTTTTCACCAATATTTATTTTAGGAGAAGTCAAGCCAGATGGCCGGCCAATGTACTGTTGATTTTGATCGCCAGAAGCCAGTAAGATAAATGGTGTAAACCATATGATTATAAGAATACATTATTAAAACAAAGATAACATAATATGAAATGCAAGTGGTTAATTTTCTCACCTCTGTCGTTCCATACAGATTTACAATAGTAGTCTCTGGCAGAATTTCATGCACTCTCTTCCACAACAATATGGATAGATTCTCGCCACTAAATATTAGCATCTTAAGCGGGTTATGTCCCCATGAAAGATTTTTCTCCAGGGAAGGTAGTATTATCTCCATCAATGATGGAACCAAATTCATCCTTGATATACCATATGCCTAAGAAAAAATTAGAAAAAAAAAATCAGGCCCACCAAGAAGAACATGGCGTAATAGCTATAATCGTAATATGTATTGATTTACCATGAAAATCCCATTATATGAGTTGCTACTTTTTTATCAAAGCAATTGAATCTAAAATAGACAAGAGCCAGAAACTATAGTACCAATTCTGACAACATTGGTAGCATCCTAAAATTACTGTTTTGCTACGGAAGAAGAATAATGTAGAACTATATCTCTTAGCAGTAGCTCTTTCCAATGATATTTGAAAGAGGACAAAAATGTACTAATATACATTAAATTTTACCCACTTTTGGACACAATTAAGCAAATATAACTTGTATTAGAAAAAAAAAATTCCTAACTGCGAAAATGTAAGGAAAATGAAAAGGTAAGCCTATTTATCGCAAATTAGTGTACAACCGTGCCAACATGTGCACAGTCCACTTTCATCCTAGTTTGCCCCACTAAATTGTAATTCAAAATTTCAAAATGACTGCTACAAAAAGGACTATATTTGCAAAATTCATCAGAGATGCTGTTTTCGAACGCTACTGCAATTTATTTCAACAAGCAGAAGCCTTGGATATAATGTTTTATGGAGAAGACAAATTGGACAATGAAAGCATAACTCTCTCTCCCCTACTATTTCATTAAAAAAGAATAGCAATATTTCCACCAAAACAATGATTAAACTAGGTAACCTTAATCAAGTTGGCCAAGGATGCTGGATTAGCTCTCCAATCATTAGGAGGAGGAATGACAAGTGTTGTGCAAGTCAACACAGCAGAAAGGAACTCCTGCAGATGGTCTACAAAGCTGACAGATGTCTTAAACAATAACAGGTCATCTGAACATAGAGGTTTCCATCTTTGCATCCACAAAAAGCGGTTCAGAAGACCTAAGGAATAATAGCAAAATAAGAGATCTTAATGAGCTGTCCGCCCAATCCAAACCTAGAAAGACAATCTAACAGACCTTAAATAAGAAATTACAAAGCAAAAGATAAAAAAACATGAGCCATTTAATGTTTCGCTGGTAACATATATTTTTGCTACCATGTAATTTCAGATACTCTATGCCTGCAGTTTGGCATAGTAAACATTTGGGCTTAGGCTAGCATTTTGGATATTGTAAACATTGGCATAAGATAGCCATGACGGCAGTATACTAAACTACTCTTTCTCAAGAAGAGCATCTAGAGACATGTCAACCAATTCCTTTGCCATGTCAGAAGCAAAATTTCTAAATGATAGCATAGAAGAAACAGTGAACCAGAAGCAAGGTGCAGTGACGTTACCTTTCTCTGTTCCACAAACACCCTTGGGTTTTCCAGTGGAACCAGATGTGAACATCACGTAGCAGAACTCCCTCGGCTTCTTGTACTTGCACGGCCAAGCAAGCTCATCTCGACCAATCCCACCCTTTTCATCCTCAAACACTTGCCATAAGTCGTCGTCCATGTGAATAACAGAGCAAGAGCTGCTCGCAAACACATGAGCTGCTCCCAAACCCCCTGATGATACAACGAGCACCGCATTCGACGACGAGGTGGCCCATCGAATCCTCTCCTCTGGCCACGATGGGTCCAGCGGCAGGAACGCCTCCCCGCATCTGAGCACGGCGAGGACGGCGGCGATGTACTCCACCGAAGGCGAGGCGTAAACCCCCACAACCCTAGGCGCCGCGGCGGCTTCCACGGGGCGACCCGAACAGCCTAGGGTTCCAAATTCCCCCTTCGATCAGAGGACGAAACTACGAGTTAATTAAAAAAAACACGAACCAAGTCACCGCTCACTCACCAGGCGATTCATCACGGTGGCGGGAGGTAGACGAGCTGAGCTCCGCGGCGATGTGGCGGGAGAGGGTGGAGACGGCGGCGAGGAGGTCGGCGCAGGTGAAGTGGCGCTCGCTGTCGGAGCCGGAGGAGGAGGAGGAGGCCGCATGGATGACGGCGAGGCCGGTAGGGTTCCGGCGGGCGGCGCGGTCGAATGCGTGGGAGATGCAGCACGGCTCCTCCTCCTTCGCCGCCGCCGCCTCGGCCGCCATTCCGCCGCTGCCAGCGAGGTTTCCCTCGCCTTCCAAGACCAGAAGAGGGAACTAGCTTTGGTTCGAAAGGGGAGAGCACGCGTGGACGACAAAACCGCTTTCGCTGCTGCTTCTAAAATACGCCTTCGAACTTGGCTTACGCACTTGGGCGATATCTGAATAATGCTGTAATTTTGCTTTCTCTTCAGCTATTCCTCTCGAAATTGTATGCAACTTTTAAGTTGCAAGTTTATAGTTTAAATAAATCAAGTGCAAAATCTTCTTTTCGAATCAGAATGAGAATCTTCTTCCATAACCAGAATGAACATAGTAACACTCGCACTAAGAATTTAAAAGAATACTAACTTTCGTGTACAGATTATTGTAACACAATGAGGGGTAAAAAAGCAAGCATTGCCAAAATGCTTTTATTCATATATAGACTTACAAAGATCACAACAAAGGTTCCAATGATAAATATCCATGTTCTCTCCACCCTGGGCTGCTCCTTACATTAAAAGAATGGAGATAGCTATGGACCTCCTTATCCAAATTAAGCGTAGCACATTGACCATAAAATTTAACAACAGTTCCTCCCACCCTACAAGCGACTCAGCAGCAAGCAGCAACCAAATATTACCGAAAATTTGAAGCATTTCACATCTTAGCAGCACGCGCGATCTTGAACCACTCGGTGTGGAAGGAGCCGGGCATGTCGACCCTCTCGTAGGTGTGAGCCCCGAAATAGTCCCTCTGTGCCTGCACCAGGTTGGCAGGCAGCCTGTCCCTCCGGTAGGAGTCGAAGTACGCGAGACTCGCCGACATGCCTGGGGTGCTGACGCCATTGTTGATGGCAAGGCAGACCACCCTGCGCCATGCCGCTTGCCTGTCCATGATCTCCTGAGCGAACTCAGGGTCCACGAGCAGGTTGGCGAGGTCGGAGTTCCTGTCGTAGGCCTTCTTGATGCGGTCCAGGAAGATGGCACGGATGATGCACCCTCCCTTCCAGATCCTCGCTAGCTCACCGAGGTTGAGGCTCCACCCTTTCTCCATGCTCTTGGCCTTGATGATGTTCATGCCCTGAGCGTAGCTGCAGATCTTCGAGGCGTAAAGAGCCTGCCTCACGTCTTCAATCAGCTGTGCCTTGTCCACTGGCAAGTTGCTGGAGAAGTCACCTTGGAAGACCTTGGCAGCCTCAACACGCTCATCCTTCAACCCACTGAGGAACCTGGAATCCAAGGATGCCTCAATTGTAGGAGCAGCCACAGAAAGCTCTGCGGCCTGCTGCACAGTCCACTTCCCAGTTCCCTTCATCCCAGTCTTGTCCAGGACCTTGTCGACCAGGTGGCCTGAACCCTGGTCATCCTTGATGCTAAATATGTCGGCTGTGATCTCAATCAGGAAACTGAGGAGCTCACCCTTGTTCCACTCAGAAAACACCTGCTGCAGCTCACTGTTTGTGAGCTTACCAACTGACTTGAGAACATCATATGCCTCAGAAATCAGTTGCATGTCACCATACTCAATTCCGTTGTGAACCATCTTGACAAAGTTTCCAGATCCACCTTTGCCAATGTATGTGACGCACGGGCCACTATCAGGAACCTGGGCAGCCACCTTGAGAAGAATATCTTCAATGTACTTGTACGCCTCGAATGAGCCACCAGGCATCAAGGACGGGCCATTGCGGGCACCCTCCTCTCCTCCGGAAACACCCATCCCAAGATAGAGGAGGCCACGCTCCTCCATTGCCTTCTCCCTCCTCTCAGTGTTCTCGTACCACTCATTTCCTCCATCAATAATACAGTCACCCTGCTCCAAGTGTGCTGCAAGAGTTGCAATGGTCTGGTCCACTGGTGCACCAGCCTTGACAAGCATGATGACAACACGTGGCTTCTGAATGGAGTTCACAAAGGATGCAGGGTCATGGAACCCGTACACAGGAAGGTTTCCTTCTACCTTGGCGCGCTGAACGGTCTCATCAACCTTAGAAGTCGTCCTGTTGTAGACAGAGATAGGGAACCCTTTCTCTGCAATGTTGAGGGCAAGGTTCTGCCCCATGACCGCAAGGCCAGCAAGACCAATTCTAGTGACAGCCATCTCTGCCTGCAGATAGATGCACCAAATGTATCAATACATCATGCGCAGAACAAACTAGTTTGTGCAGATGTTGCTTTTCTTTTAACAATGGAATACAAATGTCAATCCTTTTTATAAAGTAACAGAGTTTCCAATTCAAAAAGGACAGTACATCAGACTATGACATGCAAGTTAAGAGCTATGTACTAAAAATATTTATCGAGTCCAATATAGGGAGTGGGCTCTTTTGTATGGCCTATGGCAATTCATATTTCATACTTGTAGGAGGAGGTAATATATAATGTGAACATTTATAGCATTGAGTGAGGCATCATTCATGTATTATGGAAAAGGTATATAAATGTATGAAATGAGGATCATAACAGGATCCTGAAAATATGCTCTTTTTTATTTATGAAATCACACATGAGGTCGACACTTGGATGGGGAATCATATGGTCAGTTGTGAGCTACAAACTAGAGATTGCAAAACATTCCACAATTAACAACAGAAGGAACGAGTGGTAGCATTCTTTCTAGTATATATGTTTAGCAGCACAACATATCTAGCATAACTAGTACATGAGCCATGGTAACACATACGTTACAATGGAAGATGTGCACCTAACTACCAATTCAGGTAAAGGAGATAGCAATCAGAAGCAATCTTTCTATTTAACACTTTACACTGAAAATAGGTAATATTGGTAATTGGGAGGCACTATACTTAAAGAAACTAGTGGTAGCAAAGCTTTGGCGCACACACTGTCTATATCTACCCCATTAGCAGTAGTACTCCATGTGCAAACCAATAACCAACTGCATGTTCCCATGGATGTAACTAACCAAGACTGTACCAACCAATTAATCTCAGCCCCCCAAAAATCGTTGATCCAAACGAGCAGGATCAGCAGCAACAAACCACCTAGAACATGCAGCTAAATTCTACCAAGTTGCTGCATGCTGTCGAAGAAACAAATTCTAAAGTTGTAAACCCCACGGAACAGTAACAAGGAAACAATCTCTCAGCCACTAAAAGACGCTGCCAATCCAATTCATCCAGACATCACACCGCCAGGACGATTCCTGGTTCGCCTCCACCCAATCCCTCCCTCTCTCCCTCCCTCCCCCATAAACAGGAACTAAAAAATCGAGCAGAAACTAGACAGCTCGCGCTGCGCGGGGGACGGATGGATGATCCTACCAAGCGACGACGCGATGCGGCGCGACGGATCAAATCAAAATCGCAGCGCGGGAGAGGGGAGATCGGAGCTCACCTGCGTAAGATGAGATCTGGGTAACTGACGAAATCGCGGAAAGGCGTGCAGCGAGTCGACCACCTACCGCACCGCCTGCTTAAATAGCCCACCAAATATCCCCCTTGCCTTTCACACCTGCCGCGATCAGGACGTCTCTCTGACGGGTGGGACCGGACCGCCTCGCAGAGATAGCCGCCGCAGCGGCGGTAGGCGGGTCAAAATTGCTGCCTGACTTGTGGGCCTGGGTCTCCACGGGCGTGGTGGGCCCCACGTGCCATATGGAGTTGGAGTTGGTGGCAAACTGGCAATCAGAACGTGGACCGGACCAACGGCGGCTCGGCCCAGTTGCAGGCCAGGGCATCTTCTCCATTTCGCATCTGTTTGTTGGTGACGTCACCACCACCTCATTCTTCACATGAGTTTCCTCGAATTTAAGATTACAGATTTTTTAAATTTTTTTGCGAGGATTTTAGATTAGTTTATCGTTTTGGGGAACAGAGCTTTTAACCGCAAATCCCGCATGTGATAGATTAACTAACTGAAAGAGACTTCCATGTGTTATATGATGCTATATACGTACTCCGTATTTGCTATTCATATTATTACTTCTCTCTATTCACAAATATGACCTTTTCTATATTGGTCATGTTCGGCATATCTAGTTGGGAATCTCTACACGAAATGGAACAAGTTATTAGCACGTGATTAATTAAGTATTAGCTAAAATACTTAAAATTTGATTGACTAATATATTTTTTAAACAGCTTTCATATAGATTTTTTTTCCAGAACACACATCATTTAGCAATTCGGAAGTGTAGTGCCAAACTAAACCTAAGGATATGATATGTTTGGGATAACTTAATATTATAGAAGCAGCTAGTTGGTAGTCAACTTCTGATAATTTAGAAAAGCTTGGTTCCTTAGTTTATGTCTTCTAATTCATTTTCTTTATCTTACAACTATAGCTTCTCATAATATAAAAAAAGTTAAACTGTTTGGAGGAACTTTTGATTATAGGACAAGCTGTAAAAGCTGTAACTGCTAGAAGCTTCCCAAGATTTTTGTGTTTATATAATGAATAATGGTTAGGGGTGAGATGAAAAACAAATTATTGAAATAAAAAATGATTGATGGATCAAGTAGTACTCTATGAATACTTATATTGGTGGATAAAAATTTAAACGCTTGAAATGTTTACATTTGTGGTTAGAGGGAGTACATGATACTAAAATGTCCTTGCATTCTTCAAACCAAACAATGTGATGCTTTTGTTTCAACTTTAGTTTGCTGCAAATACTCTATCAACTTACTTTTATATTGAAAATTGCAGTTTAATTTAATACTACAAATTACTTTTTTTTTCTTAAACGCCACCGATCAAGATCAATGTTTTTCATCTTAAATTGATATGGCAAGAGCACTTCCATCCACACTCATGTACTCCCTTATTCCCATAAAAAACCAACTTCTAGCAATGAACTAGACGCATTGCCAAAAGTTGGTTTTTTTTAGGGAGTACTCACCAATGCATAAGTGTAGTGTGTGCACGTAGCTGTCTTTCATATATAATAATAAAAAAATACTCATAAAGAAAATAAATAGCAAGTCCTTAATTATTCTAACTGTACATATATTAATTATTGTTACATACCAATGCACTCCTTAGTCCTTGAATATGCAGCACACATGGTTCACTCCATTCTTCATGTTCCCTTGTGTGATTAGCAATGTGTTTGCCCTCTAACCTAACAAAAAAGAAGTATTGAAAACTAACCAAGTTTCATTTGTTAAAGCTGCAGGTGGAGACAGGACAAAACGATCCCCTTGGTAGCTTGGCAATACAAAGCTGTCGCACTACTGTCTCCTCTTGCAAATGCCATGCTTAGGACGGCATTTTCCTCGTTGCTCAGTGCTCACTGCACAAATGATGGCGTTCTACTTCTACATCGTCAACTTGGGCGCAATTCCATACAAAATTTCAGCAACCACATGTCTCTATCGTTATAGTCTTTCCATCCATAAGACGCTTGCTTACCTGCATTATTGCTTGGCCAACAGAATGGCCAGTATATTCAGAGCAAGAGCCAAGAGGAGGACCTTCATTTCACTCGCAGTAAAACTTTAGATTTTCACACAGATCGACTTCAAATGCAAGCTGCAAAAAGGACACACTACCTTGAATCCTCTGACATTATTGTCACTGGAGAGAGAGAGAGAGGGAAAGGTAATGAGAAAAATTTAGGCAGTGTCCTTTTTGTTCTGCAGTACTGTTGCTGTTGCCGTTTTACTGTCTGCACATGACTGTTACTATTACTACCCCCTGCTTTTAATTTCTACTGTCACATTGAATCTCCATTTGGCCATGTTATTTTCTTTTCTTTTCTTTTCTTATCTTGGATTTTGTTTTTTCGCTGAAGTTCTTCCCAAGCTTTGTGTTTAGTATAAATTCTTATATAATTTTTTAAAGCAACTTTTGAACCTTGTAGTTGTCATAATTCTTTTGTATCTATCCTCGAACAGTTATCATAAATCACATTATCTATCAAACAGTACCTCTCTGCCAGGACAGAGGAATGCAAAACAAAAAGTTGAGCGTAAGGCCAATCCTCCAAAATGGCAAACTTTGCGACCACTCTCTCTCCACCAAAAAATGCTAGAATGATAAAAGTTTAGGATGATCTAAACACCAATTAGTACTTTTGAAATGCTAAAACTTTTACCACTAAAACTTTTGCTATCTGCCATTTGCTATTTAAAATGGATATAACCATGTCCTAAAAGTGTCATTTTTGCAAGCAAGGAAAAAGAAAGCAATGGAGTACAAAGCGCAAAAATATATTTGGCTTTTGCAGATACGCCATGGAGTGCTCACTGCTGAAGATTCACTTGACCCACACAGCACACATACACATACTGACAATGATGAGTTGATGACACACTGATGAAGGAGCAAAGCAGCATAGAATCCATCAAGTTTCAGAGGGCTTTCAGTTCTCTCTGCTTCCTTTCCAGCTTGAAACATTTCCCATTTCCTTCGTGCAATCCAGATGTGCCTCCATCGAATTGGAGAAAAACAAAAGAACAAATAAAAGAAAAAAAGGGGAAAGAATACGGTACAGTTGAGATTTTCTGAAAAGGCTTAGTATATTCAGATTTTCTTTTAACTTACATCTAATTAAATCAAACGATTAACATCAGATCATTGTCTGTAATGTTAGTACGCGTAGCAGTGGTCAAGAATTTTCTTTCCTGATAATGGCGAGGGGGTTAGATATTTGTGAGAATGATAGGATAGGATACGGGTGCAAAGCGAAACCGCTCTAGCAACTGAAAGTCTGAAACGGTCGTCTCCTCGAGTCTGAACTCTCGAGTCTCAACCCTCGTCGTCGTCGTCTCCACCCAATCTCTCCCATTTCCATTTCCATTTCCATTTCCTCCCAAAAAAACACACAAGACGAAAAAAGGAGAAAAATCGCAACTTTACCATTCGGTCCAAACTGGCGACATCCCTTTCTCCCTCCCTTGTGCAGCATCAAACTCGTTCAAAGGTTAGCCTTTTGGGGGTTTCTCTCGTTTGACTGACCCGGGGTGGAGTGGAGACGTGGAGTCGTTGGTGTTTGGTTCAGTATCCTCGCTCTTCTTGGTTGTTGGTGGTGGCTCAAAGATTGGGCTTTGACCCGGCTTTGGCCGTCGTTGACGACGGTGGAGGAGGGATTCCTCAATCCGCGGTGAAAAGATTTTGGGTTTTCAAGTCTTAATTAGGTCGGAGTGAGTTTTGATTGTACTACTCCATGTTTACTCGATTTGGGAGGTGAGGAGGAGGAGGTTAGGTTACCTAGGTTTTTGGAGGGGGAGATGGCCGGAGCGGGAGCCGTGGGGGGGAGCAACTGGGAGGAGATGGTGAGGAGGATGCTCCCACCGGGGACCACCATCCCGGAGGCGCCGGCCAACCTCGACTATTCGATTGCGCTCGAGTACGACGGCCCTCCGGTGTCCTACGAGCTCCCCAGGATCGATCCCGTCGACCTGCCGGCGATTCCCACCGCGCAGCCCGTCTCCGGCCCGCTGGTGCCCGGGAGGAGCAACGGCGTGGTGGCTCCGGTCGTCAGGCCGGTGTTTATGCCGCCGGTGCACCGGAAGCAGGATGCTCACCGTGCCGAGCCACCGCCGGTTGCGGCACAGGGTAGGAGGAGGAGAAGCTCGGAATCGGTCGATTCGGCGCCGCAGAATGAGGGGTTCTCTGATGATGATGACTCATGCTCGGTGTCGCAAGAATCCGCGCACAATTTCCATGGGCAGAGAGGTGGTAGGACAGCTGCTCAGGAGGGAAGAAGAGCTCAGGTTGTCACATTTGGGGTCACTGAGGACAGCAGGTATGAGAGCAAAGAGTTTGATGATGTGTCGGAACAGTACGTGGCGGTGACCAAGAAGGAGAAGAGAGGGAGGACCTGCAGCCGTTGCGGTAAAAGGAAGTGGGAGAGCAAGGAATCATGCATTGTTTGCGACGCGAGGTTTTGCAGCTACTGCGTGCTCAGGGCCATGGGCTCGATGCCAGAAGGGCGCAAGTGCATCACTTGCATTGGCCAGCCAATCGATGAGAGCAAGCGGTCGAAGCTCGGGAAGGGTTCGAGGATACTATCACGTCTGCTCAGCCCGTTGGAAGTAAGGCAAATACTGAAAGCTGAGAAGGAATGCCAAGCAAACCAGCTCCGGCCTGAGCAACTCATCATAAATGGTTTTCCTCTTAATCCAGATGAGATGGCCAGCTTGCTTAGTTGCCAACGGCCTCCTCAAAAGCTCAAGCCTGGAAGATATTGGTACGACAAGGAGTCAGGCTTGTGGGGAAAGGTAAGCCTGTTAGTGTTGGTAGGAGAAGAGCATACCTTCTTATGCAGTCTGAGCTTTTGCTAATGACATTTTGTTCCTGCTGATAGGAAGGAGAAAAGCCAGACAGGGTTGTCAGCACTAACCTAACCTTTAATGGAAAGCTTCAGCCCAATGCCAGTAATGGCAACACTCAGGTTTATATGAATGGAAGGGAAATTACCAAGATTGAACTGAGAGTTCTGAAGGTATCAGTGTTCTATCATTGTACATCTATCTTTGAAAGCGGGTACAATTGCAGAAATATCCATTATGAAACAATATTAATATATATGACACATTTTTTTAAGACTATGTCTAAGTTATATCATAGACACACTTTCTTATAGGCATACAGCCTTTCATAGAATTTCATATGATTGTTCAAACCAAGAAGACAATATTACGGGAGAAACTAGGTGTATACTGTATACCATCCAAATTTTCTTCTTTAGAAATATACCACATACCACAAAAAATAAAGTTTACTTTAATACCGTCCAAACTTCATAACTCTTGTAAATTGACCACTATCATTACCACCTGTTGGACCAACTAATAGCTATTGAACTAGATGGCTGATCTGGTGTGGCTTGGCTTTGGGTAAGAAGGATTGGCCTCTGTCTAGTGCCTCACTTTCCTTCTGCGGTTCTGTCTACTGTCCTGGTTTGGAAGAAGTCAAACCAAGCCAGATCAGCCATCTAGTTGAGTCTCTCTTAGGAGATTGGACGTGAGGTAACGGGAATAGTAGTTGATGAGATTTGTGAAGTTTGGATGGTCTTAAAGTGAACCCAGCAATTTTGGTGTTATCTATCTTAAGAGGAAAGACTTGAGTGGTATACCCAATGTTGTATTCTATTAATAGCAAAACACATGAAGATGAATGTAGCATGTAGTCTGACTATAATTTCACCAGATTAAGAAAGAGTGTAAGGACTATGTGCGTGGTTTTTAGGAAACGAATAAGGCGATTTTTTTTGCTGGTACTATAATTGTGCTATCACTATCACTGAATTTGCCTCAATATCTGAATCATTCTTGTAGATTGCACAAGTTCAGTGCCCCCGTGACACTCACTTTTGGGTTTACCATGATGGTGGCTATGAGGAAGAAGGCCAAAACAATATCAAAGGGAAGATATGGGAATCGGTATGTATCTTGCTCAAAGGAGTTCTAACCACTTTGGCAATCATGGATTAGCTCACTTTTATAATCGTGTTCTATTTTCCTTCTTTTCCTCTGCTGCCCCTCTCCCCGTACATAATCCAGTGCATTCTCCCTTCCCTCTTTGTAATTTATCTTATTTTTAATATTTAATGCAGTAGGAGCCTCTCCTACTGTTTCACGTAAAGAAAAAGGAGTTCTAACCCATTCATTGTACTTCCTAAAACTACTGCATGTCTTGTTGTTTTCTTAACATGATTTTGCATGTCCTTATTTGCAGCCTGTGACACGTTTTGCATGTGCCTTGTTTTCACTACCGGTTCCTCCAGCAAACTCTGACGAACCAAAGGACGAAGCTCCTTATTCAGCAAGAACTGTTCCTGATTACTTAGATCAGAAAAGAATCCAAAAGCTTCTTATTCTTGGATCGCCTGGAGCTGGTACAAGCACCATATTCAAGCAGGTACGACCAAATTTGACATTTAAAACTGCAGTAAACTTTTACTTTGTTATACATCTCTTAGGGTGGACTCTACCTTTACCTACTGGCCCTGTATGATATACAGCTTGAATTTGATTTATAGTCTCCGTTTAGTGACATAGAAACCTTCTCGCCGTTCGGAAGCACAGGACTGCAGGTTAACTGTTATAGGTGACAATCACATATGCAACGTGACATGACATTCTGCAAACTATCACTGATCAATTTTCATGTGTAGTTTAGTTATCTCTGGTGTGTTTCTTTTCCAATAAATGCCTGCAAATTTTTATGGAGCACCACACAAGTTATTCATTCTGATATGTGGATGCACAGTTTCCAGTGGACAATTGAGGAGTCAGCCCTATTATTTATCTTGTATACATTTGCATGATGTTTTTTTTTCTCAAAACAGGCAAAGTTATTATACGACACTAGGTTTACCCAAGAAGAACTTGATAGTATCAAACTTATGATCCAAAGTAATATGTTCAAGTACCTTGGGATCCTTCTTGAGGGCCGTGAGCGTTTTGAGGAAGAGGCTTTGGCTGGATCGAATAACCCAAGCTCAGAGGATGAGAATACGCAGCATGGTAGAACCACAGCTAACACATATTCTTCACTTCTATTTTTCAGGGCTATATGCAATATCTTTAAGTTTTTCTTATTGATGCAGATGGAAATAAATCGAATGGTTCAGATTCTTGCATATACTCGATAAATGCAAAGCTGAAGAAGTTCTCGGATTGGCTTTTGGATATAATAGCAATGGGAGACCTCGATGCATTCTTCCCTGCAGCTACGCGTGAATATGCTCCAATTGTTGAGGAAATGTGGAAGGATCCTGCCATACAAGCAACATATAAAAGAAAAGACGAATTGCATTTTCTCCCTGATGTTGCCGAATATTTCTTGAGCAGGGTATTTAACTCAGCTTATATATTAAACAAAGAGTGAATTTATCATTGAAAACTTGCATTATTATTCACAACCTGCCTTTGTGCATTGTGCTACACCAGTACCTATTATGGTTATAACTTTATAAGTGTCAGTGAATCCCTCTAGATTCCTATATCATATCTGTTCCTAAAAATTCTACAACAGCTTGAACCACTAATCATTTGCCTTACTCCGGCACCAAGCATAACATAATGTGCCCCTGCACTTACTTTTTTTTTTTGTGTACACTATAGGTGTTTGAATCCCTCATTGACTTGTCTTTTTATGACATCCTTGCAGGCCATTGAAGTATCAAGTAATGAGTATGAACCTTCAGAGAAAGATATAATATATGCTGAAGGAGTAACACAAGGGAATGGATTAGCCTTCATTGAGTTTACTCTGGATGACCGTAGCCCTATGTCAGAAATGTACACTGACAATCATGAGCCTCACTCTCAGACACTAAACAAGTAAACTCTTTCTTCATGACTCATGCCTGAAGTGCATATAAATCCTTTAATAGTACACATCTCTACATATCCATATACCCTAAACAGTGCCTTTTATTTTCCTTTTCCATCCGTCATTTTTTTTGTTACTAGCTCTCTATAAATAAAATAGCCTTAGATATTAAATTGTTGGCAATGTATCTTTCGATTGTGGTAAAATGCATTTCTACTGGTCAGTGAAATAGGTAGGCTACCTGCTCTTTGCTTGGGGTGATTATTTATTTGCCCTGCGAAGCAAGTACCGGAAAGCTATTGTCTCATCAGCTTTTATTCCTTTTCAGATATCAGCTGATTAGAGTAAGTGCCAAGGGAATGAATGAGGGATGCAAGTGGGTGGAAATGTTTGAGGATGTCAGCATGGTAATATTCTCGGTAGCACTCAGTGACTATGACCAGCTGGGGGCCCCTTCAAGTGGTGGCAACAGTCCCCTTGTGAATAAGATGATCCAAAGCAGGGACTTGTTTGAGGCTACAATCAGGTACTATTGGCATTAGCCAGATAGTTTTGTAACTTTAACAGTTCCATAATTGCGCATAATCAGAAAAAAGATATTTAAAGTGACAAGTGATAGATCAAGGGAGGTTGGTCTTGTTCCAATTGAATCTAGTAATAGTTTGGGAGGATTGCATACTTCATATTTGCGAATACCGTATTGCTTGTGTACAAAATGGACAATGTTACAGCTTGTTTCAATTGAATCTAATAGTTTGGGAAGATTGCACATTTCATATTTGCGAATACCATATTGCCTATATATAATGCGAACAATGTTACAGCTTTCCTGAAATTAGTAAAATCTCATTCCAGGACCAAAGTTACTAACCTATACTTGTCCCAGGCAACCATGTTTCCGCGACATGCCATTTGTTCTTGTGCTCAACAAGTTCGACCTCTTCGAGGAGAAAATCGGGCGCGTCCCGCTCTCCACCTGCGAGTGGTTCAGCGACTTCTGCCCTCTCCGGACTCACCACAACAATCAGTCGCTGGCTCACCAGGCGTTCTACTATGTCGCGATGAAGTTCAAGGAGTTGTACGCCGCCTGCACGGATCGCAAGCTGTTCGTGTGGCAGGCGCGAGCCCGCGACAGGCTGACCGTCGACGAGGCCTTCAAGTTCATCAGGGAGGTGCTCAAATGGGAGGATGAGAAGGATGGGGGTGGGTACTACCCAGATGAGTCCTTCTACAGCACCACAGAGCTCAGCTCCTCACGTCTGATCAGACAAGAATGATGCACATTTTGCCCAGAAAGAAACTGGAGATTGTTGCTCTTCTTTTTTCAGTAGTATTTTTTCCCCTGGGTGATTTGCAACCGATTTCGTTCTGTGCAGGCAGAGATCTCGTTACTGATTGTATTGTATAGTAGTATTGCTGTATTAGTTTGTCAGATGGAGATGATGATTATTGTGTGTTCTTTATAGATCATTAATTAATACACTTTCATACTAATTTGCCAGTCAAATATAGTGGAGGACGAGAAATGGTTAGCTTGTAAAATCATTATCATGCGTGTTTTGTGACTTGTGTAAGTTGTGTTGTGTGAGCTTATAAAATCATTTCCTGGAGTTCTGGACACAACCGGGGGGTCGGTGTTTAATTCTCCGACCCCCAATGTTGTGGATAAATATTGTTCTTTGGTCATTTTACCAGTTATTAATTACTGCAAAAAAAATCTATAAGATTCAAAGGTTTTTCTTCAGTTAATGGATGATGATTACCATGAACACATTCCTCCCGAGCTATTAAATGGTATAAGTTTTGCAAAAACCTTGATGAGCATTTCTTAGAAAACATTTTCAATCGACTTTTTAACTTTAAAATATTTAACTCATTCCTTTGTGCCCTTGAAAAATTGTCAAAAACTCATTACCCCTAAACACTTTACAACACGCCCTAAGATGAAATAATAAATCTGTTCTTCTGGCCATTGGTCTGACATGTGGGCCCCACTGTTAGTTACCCAAAGCCAAGATAAAAAGGAAAAAAAAATACTAATAATCTAACCTTATCTCCTCTCACCTTCCCGCGCTCCTCACCCTCCAATGGCGGCGGCGATCGCCGGCGCCGCCGCATCCACCGCCGTATCCATCACCTGCTCCTCCTACTCCTACGAAGACGACGGAGCCGCCACCTCATGGTCGCTCTCATCCGGCACGTCGTCGTCGTCCTCCTCCTCCCAGCGCCAGCGCCCGTACCGGCGCCTCCTCCACGACGAGGCGCAGCGCCTCCGCCGCGAGCGCCGGGGGCAAGGGAGCGGCGCGCACACGCCCCGGTGGGTCCGCCGCACCCCGGACCAGATGGCCCGCTACGTCGAGGACGACCGCGCCGGCCACGTGTACGGCCGCCACGTGGTCGCCGCCGTCCGCGCGGCGCGCGCCACGGCGTCCTGCTCCAGCCCCTCCTCCGCCGACATGCGCGAGGCCATGGCGTCGTTCGTCGCGAAGCTCACCTTCCGCGAGATGTGCTTCGTGCTCCACGAGCTCCGCGGCTGGCGCCAGGCCCGCGATTTCTTCGCCTGGATGAAGCTTCAGGTAAGCAAAGAGACTGAATCTTTTCCTCTTTTTTTTTCTGAATTCCTAACGATTTCACCTCGATTTATGAGCTGATCACCATGAATTTGTTTCTTGATCCATCCAGCTGTGCTACGAACCGAGCGTTGTCGCCTACACAATCCTTCTCAGATTGTACGGTCAGGTTGGGAAGGTCAAGCTCGCCGAGGTGACATTTCTTGAGATGCTTCAGGCCGGGTGCGAGCCAGACGCAGTGGCATGTGGAACCCTCCTGTGCGCGTACGCAAGATGGGGGAAGCTCAATGACATGTTGATGTTCTACGCCGCGGTGCGCCGCCGCGACATTGTGCCCTCCATCTCGGTCTTCAATTTCATGGTCTCATCTCTGCAGAAGCAGAAATTACATGGCAAGGTAATCCACCTGTGGGAGCAGATGCTGGAAGCCAATGTTGCCCCAAATCAGTTCACATATACAGTTGTGATCGGGTCATATGCCAAGGAAGGTATGTTGGAGGAGGCCATGGATGCATTTGGTGAGATGAAGCGCCGCAGATTTGTGCCGGAGGAGGCGACATACAGCCTTCTGATCAGCTTGTGTGCCAAGCATGGCAAAGGGGAAGAGGCATTGGGGCTTTATGATGAGATGAAGGTTAAGAGTATTGTCCCAAGCAACTACACATGTGCATCTGTCCTGACACTCTATTACAAGAATGAGGATTACTCGAAGGCGCTTTCGCTGTTCTCTGAGATGGAGCAGAATAAGATTGTTCCTGATGAAGTTATCTATGGAATTCTTGTTAGGATATATGGTAAGCTTGGGCTTTATGAGGACGCGCAGCGTATGTTCGAGGAGATTGACAAGGCAGGTCTTTTGAGCGATGAGCAAACTTATGTGGCAATGGCTCAAGTTCATATGAATGTCCAAAACTATGATAGAGCATTGCAAGTTTTGGATGCTATGAGGGCGAGAAATGTAAAGCCATCACAATTCTCCTACAGTGCTCTTCTCCGATGTCATGTGGCAAAGGAAGATGTGGATGCTGCTGAAGATACTTTCAGAGCTCTCTCCAATTATGGCCCGCCCGATGTGTTTTGCTGTAATGATCTTCTCAGGTTATATATGAGGCTTGGCCATCTAGACAAGGCCAGGGCACTCATTCTGAAAATGAGGAAGGAAGCTCTCCAGTTTGATGAGGATCTATGTGTGACTGTGTTGGAAGTTTGTTGCAAAACCAGTATAAATAAGGATACGGATAATTTAACTGAAGTGATTCAGAATGAAGGTAGCTCATCAAAGGTGCTAAATCCAACAGATAGTTCAACACTTAGTATGATGTTGAAATCCTTGTTGGACAAACCTGGGGGCTTGTCCAGTGTGTCCCAATTGATCATGAAATTTGCTAGGGAAGGTGAGGAGGCTAGATGCCGCACATAACATTGTATTCATGCTTGAACATACTGCTTCTTACTGCTGGCTCTACATGGATTCTTCTGCAGGGAGTACAGATGAGGCCAAATTCCTCTATGAACACCTTACTGAATTGGGAGCCAAGCCTGATGATACTGCAATAGCTACTTTAATTGTACAATATGGCCAGGCCCAGCAGTTGGAACAAGCACAAAAACTGTTTGAGACAGCATCAACATCGTTTCCAGTAGGAGGATCTGTCTACAATGCAATGGTTGATGCATTGTGCAGATGTGGCAAAACTGAGGAGGCATATCGTCTTTTCATGGAATTGATCGATCAAGGTCATAATGGAGATGCCGTGACAATAAGCATACTTGTCACACACCTGACTAAGCAAGGTGAGTTTTTTTGACGGTTGCTTTCTTTGGCTGCTATATAACTTATATTGCTCCAGATGAATTTGTGACTGATTGACTGGCTGTTTAGAGGCCAAAAACTATGCATCAATATTGCACTGTAATTTTACCGATATATTTTACTTTACTTCTATTTGCACTGACGTAATGATGTTACTTCCAGAGAAATTTCAGGAGGCAGAAAACATCATATATCGCTGTTTACACGATGAAGCTGAGCTCGACACTGTTGTATATAATACTTTTATCAAGTCAATGCTTGAATCAGGTCTGGATAATGTCTTTTTATTAGGTAGAGAAGAAAACATTTCAGATCACATGGTGTTAGAGCTAACTGTAACAGCTTTAGCTTCCAAGCAGGCAAACTGTACTCAGCTGTCAGCATATATGATCGCATGATATCTTCTGGCATTCCTCGGTCCATGCAGACATTCAATATAATGATAAGGTAGATAATATTCAGAAAAACAAGCCAGGAAACTGGGCTTTATTTTTCCCTTTGATGTTTTTTTGCTGAGAACGTTATGTCATTAGTTTCAGTTTTTCTCATTCAGTGTTTATGGCCAAGGAGGAAAGCTGGAGAAGGCTGTTGAAATGTTTAGTGCTGCACAGGAACTAGGCTTACCGATTGATGAGAAAACATACACAAACATGCTTAGTTTCTATGGAAAAGCAGGTAATTTAAATTTTCCCTGCATTGTGCACAGATCTAAGGAACTTTGATAAAAGCATCAAAGAGAGATCCTACATTTTAGTTATTTTTTTGCTCTTCATTCTATTCAGTGCTAAATTGTTATTTCTGCAGGGAAGCATCATGAGGCATCCTTACTGTTCAGTAGAATGAAGGAAGATGGTATCAGGCCTGGAAAGGTATTCCTTTTTGTTAGTGGCAAAGCAAGAAATGGTATACTTAGCCTTGAGGTTAACCAGAATATGTAATTTGGACCTTAACTTATAATGTGCAGATCAGCTTCAACACCATGATCAATGCCTATGCCACTTCAGGATTGCACAATGAGGCAGAGATTATATTCCAAGAAATGCAGAAAAACAATCATGTGCCTGATTCGCACACATATCTTGCTTTGATCAGAGCATACACTGAGGGTAAATGCTACTCCAAAGCTGAGGAAGCCATCCAGATGATGCTGAGAAGCAACATGACCCCTTCATGCACTCATTTCAACCATCTCATTTCCGCCTTTCTGAAGGAAGGTCAGATTGATGAAGCCCAGAGGATGTACAACCAAATGGAGGAGGCAGGCATACCTGCTGACTTGGCATGTTGTCGGACGATGATGAGGATGCATCTGGATCACGGTTACGTCGATGATGGCATCTTGTTCTTCGAAACGGCATGTCGACTTCTGAAACCGGATAGCTTCATCCTGAGTGCTGCATTTCATCTCTATGAACATTCAGGCAGGGAGTCTGAAGCTGGGGATGTCCTAGATGCCATCAATATGAGTGGTGCCTCTTTCTTGCGTAATCTAAAGGTTGGATCAAAGTTGGAGCAAGTGAGAAATGATACACATGCATCTTGAACAAGCTGTGAGTATCATGTCGGATGAAACCGCTGTTAAAACCGCTCGAGGGAGGCAATATAAACCAGTATTAATAACCGAGTCTAGTTTTTTTTTTTTTTGGTTTGCTATTTTACTTGCGACATATTTTTGGGCTAGTATCTTTCACTTTTTCATATGTAGGATCTTGCATCAAGATTCGTATTATTGTATATCGAACTTTTACACTCGATTACAAATGCACCAGAATTAAATTTTATAACTTTTTTCTCGATTTACGATTTTTTATATGGTTCTATCTTTTTGTTATTTTTTTTAAAAAACGGACTATATCCATTGGTTGAAAATTCTGTAAGAATCAAATCGAAGCTACAAGTCTTTGTTCAGGAGGGAAAGTTGGACTCGAACATAGTTGGGGAGGTACAATAGACTGTTTATACATATACAGCCCATTTACAGATACAGCCCAAATGGTGGTCCATTGTGAAAAGCGGCCCATTGTTCCCTCAGAAAGCCCACGGAGTTCCTCTGAAATATAAACAGAGGAGCCCATGGTGTTGTAGTGTTGAACAAGTTGTAGCGCGTGAGGGAGAGGTCGATGCAGCACAGCGATTTGGCTCCAGGGATGCGGCTGTCCACGATCACGTTCAGCGATATGACTCATCAACGTGTGATTAACTAAATATTAACCTCAAAGCTTAAAAAAATGGATTAATATGATTTTTTAAAGCAACTTTTTTTATAGAAAACTTTTGTAAAAAAGATATGACTCATCAACGTGTGATTAATTAAATATTAACCCCAAAACTTAAAAAATGGATTAATATGATTTTTTAAAGAAACTTTTTTATAGAAAACTTTTGTAAAACACGCACCATTTAATAGTTTGAAAAATATGCGCGTGAAAAAAAGTAGGTGAGTTGGGAAATAAGGGGTGAAGAACACAGCCTAATACTGGTTTATATGACTTCCACCGAGCGGTTTTAACAGCGGTTTCATCGGACGTGACATTCACAGCTTGTTCAAGATTCACTTGCTCCCAACTTTGATCCAACCTTAAGATTCCTCAAGAAAGACGCACCACTCGTATTGATGGCATCTACGACATCCCCAGCTTCAGACTCAGCTTTAGACTCCCTGCCTGAATGTCCATTTATATTGGGAAGCTCGAACAACATATAGGTTACATTCAGAACCAAATCACAAGCCAAGTGCACACAAGAATATATATTAATGTTCCAAAATATAGCAGCTAAGCTCAAACACTCGTAAAACGAAACATTATCTCCATCACCAGTGGAAATCCTCAACGGTAGCGAGTTCCAGAATCCAGACTTCCAGCATAAAAGCAACAGCTACTAATAGTTTAGGTACAAAAGCATCCAGTGCACCTCGAAAATATTAGACTAGAGAATGCAGCTAACAACTGAGCTACAAAACGACTGCAAGTATTATTAAGCTAAGCATTAAGATGCTCTGCCCTACATCAGAATTCAGAAGAGAGTCTCAGAATCAGATGATAAGAGCAGAGCTCTTGTGCAGCAATCACTGGCCGTCTCCCGCTGAATAGAACATGCTTGGGTACACCCACAAGGCCTGCAGCTGGCGGTACCAGTTTCTTTTGAACACGAGGTTGTCATCAGTGTTAGGATCCCACACAGCATCTGCATCATCACCCAACCCATGCAGGCTCAATGGCTGAGAGTAGTGAGCATAGTACAAGCAGTTGCTCCTCCCTCCCCAGCGCTCCGGGTTCTTGAAAGAAAATGGAGGGCTCCTTGCATCACCCCCAATGAAGAGTGCCCAGTTCTCCAGCTTCTTTACCTCCACCCATTTTGCAGGCTTGGTCGACATGTCCAGACGGTATGGCCTGTAGAGGACCGGTGCTCCAAATGAAAAACTTATGTAGTGGTCAACAATGAGAAGCATGTCACCACAAACCACAAACCATGGTCTCATATACGGACATTCATTCATGTTATCCCACCAGAGAGTTTTTATCTTTTCCAAGCGAAGAATGGGGGCCAACTGCAAAGTGTACAGACTGTATTCAATCACAGCGATGAGCTGACCATTGAATTCCACAATCTGATCGACCCGATTAACGGGCAGCTTGAGCTCAGACCAAGAGTCACTTCCAACTGGCCAATCAAACAGGGAGGACTGAGTGCTGATAATGAGATGTGAGTTAGGTGACGTGATAGGAGCCGTCAGAATGCCACAGTAGTAGAACTCATCACAGTTCTCACTGAATGGAAGGCGTGGAGGTGAAACCTCAGCACCGGTGAACACATCAACAACAAGACAATAACCACGGCGGCAGCAGATGAGCTGACCATGGGAAGAACCTGCAAAATGCATCCTCTGCAGAGTTTCTTGAGGAATCTGGCAGCGGAGTGGGGTGTTTCGGTTGGCTAGATCAATGACCTCACACGAGCGTAGCTTGCGATGACCATTGCTGCTATAAGGGGCTTTGACGCGGACATTGGGTCGGACGAGGAGGGGTGGGAGTATGGTGCGAAAGTTAGATTTTGATGGGTAGGATGAGAAGGCAGCACGCCAAGAATGGCAGGTGCCAGTGAAGGCAAGGAGGTCAAGGAAAGAGCCCAATAGAGCAACAATGGAGTGAAGCAGGCCCTCTGGGAGTTCTGCCCAACCTTCGATCACAGACGTGGCAGGGGGTGCTGAGCCAGAGGCTTCAGAAACCTTGCTGGGGCTTTGCATGATGGAGTATTGCTGGACTCCCTGCAACACATAATGAATTCAAAAACAAATTAGAATGGTGAAAGCCTGCTAGAATTTCAGCTACCAAATATATGCGGAAGATACCTCAATCGTCATTATACACTGAAAATAAAAGGCAAAGATCTTGATTCCAGCAGGTACATTTTTTATGTTCAGGGAGAAACAATAGCATACAGGAAAAACAGTAGCTCGTTTTTCTTGAAAATGCATGCATGCCTGCTTAAAGTTTAAAACTTTCTATGTGAAGCCCATCATTGTATTCAAATAATGTAAAAAAAAAGGCCTGAAATATTTTCTGTTTTGATGCCTATCTCTATTTGAGGGTCAAATTATGACAAAAACAAATATTTTCTGTTTTGAGGCCTTCCTCAATTTGGGGATCCATTCATGCATGGCATCAAAATTTCTGTTCAGGAATCACCACATTGCATCCAATTTCGCGCATTTTGTTTTCACACTAGTAGAGGCACGCGCACCTATACGCTCTCATAAACCTACGTTTTTTTTTTCACGAATGCGCAAAAGGATTGCGCGTCAATATATTAGAAGAAGATAGTAGAGTTTGGTTAAACATTGCAAACGATCAGGCCGTTCTCATAAACCTACGTGATCAACCATGTCAATCTAGGGTTCTTCGCTAGCACATCCAACAACAAAATCCAGTGCAAGATCCACCCCTACCAACGCGGGGTAGATCTCACCACCACAGGACGGGACGCGCTTCTCGGTTAGGATCGGATTCGGAGACACGAGTGACACAGACACACACACGAGGAGAAACTGAGAAATGTATCAAATAAAAATTAAAAAAAAAAAACGAGATGAGGTGTTGGTTGCGACAAGGTTGGGGGAGAAGGTAGAGAGTTTGCAGGCCTTGCGGATGGACGGACGAGTCTCCGGCGACGACGATGCCGGCGAGCGGCGCCCTCTCCGGCGATGTCGGCGTGCGGTGCGGTTAGCCCCTCTCTCACTCCCCTTCTCCTGCTCCTTTTATGGCCTCCAATCGTGGGCCCAATTTGGGCTTTCTTAACTGGGCCTAGCAATGTGGGCCCAAATCAAAAGTTGGGCTGGATTGGTTGGGCCTCCCATGGATCATCACCTCGCTGACGCATCCGCCTCCTCGCCTCGCCTCCACTCCCATCGGACGCGCCGCCGCCGCCGCCGCCGTCGCCACCGCCGGGTTGGTCTCCTCACCGGCGCATCCGGGGAAGCTACGGGTTAGCAAGCGCTCATGGACGGGAGCCGCCGGAAGCGGCAGCGGCGAAGACCACGGCCGCCGTCGCCGCAGGCCGAGCCCTCGCCAACGGAGCTCACCGCTCTCGGCCAAAGGTCCGCACCGCAACCCTAACCATGATTTGGTTTGTTTTATTTATCCTTCTCTGTTTCACCTTTGTTAATTCGATGTTCCTGAGTGGATGGATGTGCGTCAAATCATCGTGAGGCGACAAAGAACCCTCATTCATCGTATACCACGCGCCGATAGCGATTTCGTCTCATGATGTCATGAACTAGGTAGGGTGAGCTAGCTCACCAGTGCATAACTTGTTCTGTTGTTCAGTGATGAGGTGTGAAACTATTGGTAATTTGGTATAGTGGGAGATGATGGATATTTGGTGTTCAAATTTAGGTACAATTTAATGCGGTCTCGACACGATTCTAGTCGATTACATAGTTCCAGGACGTTTATGGTACCTGACATTCTTGTATGGTAGCACTGCCAGTAGTGGTTTAAATTGGGCCGCGAGAGGAGCAAGATCGATTAATGAATTAATCAAATGCGCTTACAATTTTTTTTCCTGTTAAATTGGATGCATTGCCCGCATATTCATGTTGTCGGAATAAATATTTTCATCACTTTTGGTGATATTTGTTCTGAGGGTGCTCTACAACGTACCCCTCTGTCATTGTTTTGAGGGGCCAAAAAAGGGTTTGGAACACTAGACAGATTACAACTGTGCTATTGTTCAAGGTATCAAAGCTGTAAGTGGTTCTTGGAATTGTTACAGTTCAATGAAACGGGCATAATTATTTGCCTCAGCATGTTACAAGAGCCTATTGCTCGATATGCCCAAGCTGTAGGTGAAGTTACCAATTCATGTTGCTTCTTTAAATGAACCGACATTGTGATCAATATCATTCCATTTCTAAATCTTTACTAATAATGTTATCTTTGAGTGCTTTCTCTGATCCAGTCGTCCTGAATTTTTTTCATTTGTTTGACAGGGAAGTTTCTGTTGCAGAAAGGCCCTTTAAGAAAACCTGCCACTCATCAGTGTCTACATCCTCTACCATGTGTGAACCCCATGTTTGGCCAGGTCTCATGGACAGCATGCTTCACCAAATCATTGCTTTGCTTAGCTCATTCCAGGACTTGCTTGCTTTTAGTGGCACTTGCCGCTCTTGGCGAGCTGCATTATCTTCCTTCCCATCCATATATACTTTCACCTTCCCACCTCTTCACCTGAAACCAGATATACCTAATTCCCATCCCCATTGCAGCAGTTTTAGGTACACTCTTTTATATAAATGCAGATGGCAGCTTGGTGATCCATCCAAGAGAACTTTATCCCTTCGCTGTTCAGCTCCACAAAATACTCCAAATCGCATGCGCTATTTGGGTTGTTCATATGGGTATCTCATCTTCTCATATTATGAGAATTGCCTCCTTGTTGATATGTACACTGGCGCTAAGGTGAAGCCTCCCAAACTACAATCCGCAGGCAACAAGGAAACATACTATGGCATCCTTACTGCTCCACTTAATTTGCCAATATCGCATCTCCTACTTTGTTCGAGATCGTCCATATTCTATTGGCAGGTTGGAACGAATTCTTGGTCAGAGCACCCTTTTGGCGGTGAGCGCATTCTTCAGATTGTGCTCTTCAAAGGTGAGTTTTTTGCGATGGACTTTCATCACAGGCTCCATACCATGCGCTTTGCACCTCAGCTCAGCATGCAGGAAGTAGGGGTTGTGTGGGGAGAAGAAATGTTTGTGGGTGTACATTTTAAGCCGTGGCTGGTGATCAGCGGTGACATGCTTCTCATGCTTGACCTCTCAGTAGGCATTCACCATTCGTATGGTTTCCCTGGCACCTTTCAAGTCTTTCGTCTTGACTTTTCTGCTCAAACAGCCAAGTGGATGAAGATGGAAAAGTTGGAAAATAGTGCTCTATTTGTCAGCCTTGATAGGAGGAATCCTACGTTCTCTTGCACGAACCCTGAAAGATGGGGCGGAAAGAGTAACTGCATTTATGTTGCGAAACCATCTGAAGATTCTGATGAACCTTGGACTGCAGTCGAGCTTGGTCAGCCAATTCCTGGTGCAACACATTGTGTTCCATACAGTCATCCACTCCTGCGAACTGAAGGCCATTGCAGTCAACTAGAGTACCTCTGGGTGCTCCCCAGTTTTATTAATGGTGTTGACCAGTGATCTATCATCTTTGTTTTGTCATCATGTTTTAGCCATCATTGCAAAGCCCTTTCCTTACTGCTTGTTAGATTTAATAGGTTATGTACCTGTAATGGCTTCTTGACCTGGCATATATGGATTCTTGTACATCGAAGTTGTATTGTCGTGCAGTTTCCATGCTTAGTTCTTGCTTCGCTTGTACGCATAGTTGGCTTGTGTTCTGTGACCTTGTGAATGCAGGCTTACGATTTTCTCTTCTTTTTTCGAAGACTGCTTACTGAATGTCATATTATCGCTTGCGAGTTGCGACTTGCACAATTTACCTTTAAGTTGGATTATATGAATATCATTGATATTTGTTTCATGAATGATTTAGCTAGCAATTCTCCTTGACAATTTATCTGCATTTCCATACTGGTCAGGAAGGCAAATTCTTTATAAGCTCACACTACTTTCCCAAATATGATGATTACTTGTTCATGTCCTTTGCTCAGTTAATAGTATATGTATAACTAGAATGATGGCCGTGTAGATTGCGTGGCTAACATTATTGTATTTTTCTCACATAATAACACATATATTCACATTTTATTAGGGACGCGCTAAAGCGCCCCTGGGGTGTGTGCTAGCTAAAACGCACTCTCACAGGTACACCCCCTCCCTCCCCCTTAACTCCTCTGCCCCTCCCTCCCACACCTTTCCCACCACTCTTGTTTGCACATTTTCTCACTCCTGATTTTTCTTCTCACATCCTTCTATCAGTAATTGATTTACTCTTGATTTTTCTTCCCACTTCCTTCTCTCGGTAATTGATTTACTATCAATTGGTATTCTTCCCTCGGTAAATGAATTACTCCCAATTGGTTCTTAGCCCTTCTCTCATTATAAATATACTTCCTCTGTTTTATAATGTAAGTCATTCTAGTATTGCCTACATGTATATAGATGTTAATGAATCTATACAACATATGTTTAGATTACCACAAAGATTTTCATAGTTAATAAATTACTATTTGGACGGTTATTTCTCTTGATAAATAAATTAGTCACATTCATATTAAACTAGTAAAACCATTTTCCTAGACAATGGCAAAATGTTTTTCTAGGCGCGTAGAACTCTCGAAGCCAAACGACTGTCTAAAAAAATAGCAAGGAGGAGGGGGAGGGAGAGGACGATATGACAATCCGTCTGCGAAGACATATTTTCACACGCGGACCACATAAGATGACGTGTGCGAAAATACCAAAATTAATTTGTCCAACTTGCATGATCGACAGCCCCTTGCCTATATGCATCGATGCACAGCATGTTTAATTCCAAGCTACCGATGGAACCATCTTAAATTCTGTCAATCTGTTTTGAATATTGTTCTTTTATTCACATTGGATATATATGATCCTGTCATGTCTCGCCTACGTGCTCATCACGGCTATTTAATGGCATCGATCCGTCTCTCACATCTCTTCTGCGAATTTATATACAGTCGGTATACGTGATCACAACATGCATGAACGTGATCACAGGAAAAGATAACTTCAAAAACCATGATTTGCCGAGATAAAACCTAAGAATGAGACACGAAGCTTAATTCAAATCAGCTGGCGGCTGATTACGATTTTTACCGGTGAACACAATCCACGCTTGAACTTTATGAATTGCATAAATGCATATGAATTAATGTATTTTGGGGGAAACAGATACAACTTGGTAGAGAACCAATTACAAATCTTGGTGCCCATGCTTAGGAGTTTATTGAAGTCCTAGTGGTGGTCTCGTTACATATTCCTGAAGTTATCCTTGCATTTTTCATATATACTAGCGCTTTGCGCGACTTTTGATTCTATTTAAAACTTCTGTGTATGGTCTATTAGTTTACCTTAGCTTTTAAAAATGTTTTGATATAAGTTAATTTGTTTATAAAGTATCGATTGTCCTAGCCAACTATAGATATAGCTAAGTTGTATTATATGAGTATGTTATAAGAGAAATCAGAAGCCTCCTTTGTTCCCTCTCTTTGAATCATATGTTTATGAGGAGATGAAACCTCCAGAAATTTCCATATGTTTAGCTCATCTATGGTTTTTTTTAATACATGCACTCTTTCGATCCAATGACCATTGTTTATTTGAACTCTTCATCTGATGGCTAATATATTTTTGATGATGTGGCACATCCTCATGCAAGAAAGCTTGTTGCTTTCACTATATAAGATATGGAGTACATTATAAGCAAACATACAACACGAAATCAAATAGGTACGACACCTTATATCAGTAAATAAATTAGGGGTAATTGCTCATTTGACCTTGTTTCACAGCCTAACTAGTAACTACCAACCTGATCCTACTTTTTTTAGTTTGCTTATTTGATCCTCCTTTTCAAAATCGAAGATGAAGGCTGACACTATTCCATTAAAACGAGTTAATAGTGTTAGTGAGTAGCCAGGCCAGCACGGCCCGACTAACAAACCGTGCCGTGCCCGCCCATGGGTTGCACCTTCAGCCTAGGCACGGCCCAATAAAACTCGGGTCGTGCTGTGCCGGCCTGAAGGCACGACCAGGCCACTAGTCCATCATGCTCGTCCTTGGAATAAGTCTATTTGCTTCCCTCATCTCTTTGGGTCTGTTGACGTGAAAAACACACACTGGCCTGGGAGATCTGCTTAGCTCCAGTGCAGGTCCAAAGGTTGATGAGATGCGTGCGTGCTAGTCAGTTTGATCCTGCAACTGGCAAGATATGTAAACAGTAGATCCCACAACCGATTGGCTAACAAGCCGATGGAGTAGTTCCAGCCGATGCTGATAATAGCTGATGCTAATACTACCTGATAACGATAGGGTTTAAGCAATTGGCTATATGTCCAATGTAGATGATGATATAAAGGCACTTGGCTGATGATAATAAAATATAACAACAATATAATCCAGTATAAACCAATCGGCTAGCATTGATATGATAGAATAAGCACTGATCCGAAGGGTAAATAATACATCGGCTGGAGGTCCGATGTCATAAAATCCACAGGATTAGATAAATTAATGAAACCTTTGTTGTCATCAGCTAAATCTAACTTATATGTATATGCAATCCTTATAAGCCGATGCAATGTCCAGATAACTTATCGGCTAGCACCCCGATAAAACATTAGTATGAACCTATCGGCTTAACAAGACTTATATGATCAACAATAATCTAGTAGGTCGAACCTAACCGATGCATCACGAGATTGTATATGATAATCTAATACTCGATGAGCCGATAGATCTGTCTAATGTGATAGATATAACAAATCTATTTAGAACATCATTGTGATTGTAGAGATATATCGGCTAAGACAGAAGATCGGACCTAACCGAGACAGTTCCAACTAAACCGATGCGTCTCTAAATACAATGCAATTAGAGATAGAATCGAGATATCAGGTAGGCAAATGTATCAACCAAACCAGAGCGATCCAAGAGATCGGAGCGATGCAGCCTTGAACAACACCGAGGTAGATGACAGATTCACCAGGGCCCGACGGAACGTAGGACTTACCCCTTCGCCGGAGATCAAAAGCCGATGCAGCCCCGCGTCAGGTGCCCAAATCCCGCCGGAAGATAAGTAAAAACCTCGGTAAAGAGGGTAGCGATGCGCTGAGAGTATTATTGATCGAGAGTGATAGATTATATAGACCCCGGGTGTACATATTTATACCCATGGGTTAATACAAGTCCTTGTCGGACAAGAAAGAAACTAAAGATAAAAGGAAAACATAAAGTCCTTATCGGACACTAAACACACTTTCCTAAAGATAAAAGGAAACTAACAAACTATTCCTAATTAATAGATAAACTGCCATGCCGCATCCTCTTTGAACTCGGTTGCTTATGGATAAACTTCCTTTAGTAGATTGATTTCCTTAACCGAATATAGCAGGAATCTGACTATTGGCAACTTGATAACTCCCATCGGCTGATTCCAAGATGTTGCAGCCGATAGTGATTTTCAGCCGATGATGACTTTGGGCTTACCAAATTTTGTCGTTAACAGGGTCGTGGATATATGGCTAGAAAAAAATGTCTATCTTGCCTCCCTCATCTATTTGGGCCTGCTGATCGTTGTGCCATGTCGTGCCGAGGAAGAGGCCTAGGCACGACCCAACAATTAGGCCTAGCTGGCATGGGTCCGACAACAGTCGAGCCATGACGTGTCTGGATCTAGCCAAATCTCCGTGCCATGGGTTGTTTCGTCGGGCTGTGGGTCTTTTGGCCAACTATAGTGTTAACTAAGGGGCAAATAGTCCCCTTTGCCCTTGCTTATTTGACTCCGTTACGTCAAAACATGCATATATTTGGATCTTCTGACATATTTGTGACAAATTTGATATATCTTTGACATTTAAGACAAGTTTGATATATTTGTCTTTGATTTTTTAATTTTAAAATTTTGAATCAATTTAACAAATTTGACTTTAGTTTGAAACTTTTTTTTGACAAAATAAAGAAAACAAAATTTGACATAATTTTGGCAGAATTTTTTTAAAAAATTGTGACAACATATTGTCATATTTTGTGGATCCCAAATCACATACAATGAAGCATAAACATGGATTATAGTCAAATCCAACTGAGATTTCCAACAACAAATTCATGGCCCAGTGCAATAGTAGCCACCAGTGGCGGACCCAGGATTTGAACCTAGGGTAGGCCTAGCCAAAAAAAATTCGAATGCAATACAATATGATTCGATATATAATGTGGTAAACGATAGTACGATATGGTATATAACTCTAAATGGTTCAATACAAGTAGAAAAATAACAAATAAGTTTGAATCTTACCTAAATAAAAATGTAAATTGTTCAAACATAATACAAGGTCTTTAGATACATAGGATATTACAATACTAATCAAGACTCAAGAGCTTTTGCTTTACGCTTCTTCATAGTCATGAAAGAGTGAATTATGTCTTTCTCATGTACATATCACGCTCAATGAAGGTGACCAAACAATTATTCAATAACTTGTCACTCATACTATTTCTCACTTTAGTCTTCACTAAATTCATTGCAGAAAATACTCTTTCCACACTTGCCGTCGCCACCGGTAGGATCAACACCAATTTAAGAAGCAAATACACCAAATCATACAGATCATGCTTCTTTGTTTCAACAAGCTTAATAGAAAGCTGACCAATTTTGTTTAGGCCTTTGAATCTATGATCCTCTCTCATATCATTAATATATGTATCAAGTTGGAGCTCAAGTTTCATCAAATTGGAGCCTTCAATGTCCTTAGGATAAAAGCTTGCAAGTCTAAGTATTTTTTGTGCATCAAATGAGGCAAATGAATCTGTTGGATTGAATGCCGACATACAAAGAAGCAACTCCATACTAACTTCATCAAACCGATTCTCCAGCTCTTGATGAATTCTCTCAATGACACCAATATACACTTCTCTCCTATAGTGGTCATCAATTGTTTGATATGGGTAAAAACGGTGGGATCTTCCATGAGGCACATATTTAGCATCCATTGCAGGAATATCAATGGAATATTTGATGCAAAATGATGTAACCTTTCCTAAGAAACCTTCCCAACCATTGAACCTCATTTGTTGCATTTTTTTCTTTGCCAAACCCACAAGTGACATCGCATTAACAATATCTTGGTCCCTCTTTTGCAATGAATTAGAAAACTCATTTGTGTAACCCAAAATGACAAGCATTAAGTGTGCATTGAAAACAAACTCAAATGACTCAAAAGCAAGAACCATAGCATGTATGATTGGCCAATCCTCTCTTTGAGTGGGATCTTTTCCAATTGTTATGAGTACTTCCCGGATTGTATCATACATGTCAATGATATGCAAAATAGTTTTGTAGTGAGAACCCCAACGAGTGTCCCCAGGCCTAGCCAATGCCATCTCTTGATTTAACCCACTTCCACTTGCTATTTCACCCAAGTTAAGTGCTTTTTTCAATTTTTGAGCTCTAACATCTCGAAGCATATCATGACGTGTGCAAGAGACTCCAACTATATTTAGCAACCGTGAAACTTGACCAAAAAGGTTTGGCAACCAACATTTCCTTTGGCGACAGCAACAAGAACTAATTGAAGTTGATGTGCAAAACAATGCACATAATATGCTGAAGGAGACTCTTTCATGATTAATGTCTTCAACCCTTTAACCTCTCCTTTCATATTACTAGCCCCATCATATCCTTGGCCATGGATTTGAGTAAGAGTTAAGTGATGGCTAGTAAGTAAAGATTGAATTGCTGTTTTTAGTTGCAAAGAACTAGTACCGGCCACATGAACTACTGCAAGGAACCTCTCACAAACCCCTCCAAGTTTATCAACATAACGTAAGCAAACAACCAACTGTTCTTTATGTGATATATCACTAGATTCATCAGCTAGAATTGCATAGTGCTCATCTCCAAGTTCTTTAAGTATGCAACTAGTGGTTTCCATAGAGCAACATCTAATAACTTGCTTTTGTATGCGAGGGGAAGTCAAAATGCAATTACCTGGAGCATTATTCAGAACCACCTTATTAGCATTTTCATTATTTCCTGCAAGCCACTTCAAAAGTTCAAGGAAGTTTCCTCTGTTGTTAGATTCTTCAGTTTCATCATGTCCACGAAAGGCCAATCCTTGACGCAAAAGATACCTCAAACATCTAAGTGAATAAGTCAATCTAGCCTTGTAATTAACTTGATCCTGTTCTGACACCTTCACAATAACAGTATCAATTTGTGTACCCTTTTTTCACAAATAAGTTGTATTTCTCTTGAGCAAAATTGTGATCACTAGATGTTCCTCCAACATGTTTATCAAGGGCTTTAGCTCCTACATTCCAATTATGCCAACCACCCGTAACAAATTTTCCACTTTCTTTGCCAAACAAATAACAAACGAAGCAAAATGTTGCATCCTTGTCAACACTATATTCAATCCAAGGGTACTTATGAAACCAAATAACACTAAAGCGGCGATCTTTACCATATATTTTTCTGGATGGAAAATTGAAGGCCCAAAGATGGCATGGACCTTTTAGAATGTACCCTCTTCTAGCCGCATCTTGATCGTTGGCATCAAAACTTGAAATAGGAACCCTTAAGCCTGGATCATGTTCAAGATCATCAACATCATAAATCGGCAGAGATTCTTCTTTAGTTTCAATTGAAACCTCATCAACAACAACATCTGGAGGTGGAGCGTCATCTACAACAGTATCTTCTTCAGTTTCTTCACATACCCCTTCATCAACAACTATGTCTTCATCAATTGGAGCATCATTTACAGCAGGAATAGACGACCCTTCATCCACATGTGGGATTGGTAGATCACAAGCATTTTTTTTTGCTTCATGCTTCTGAAAAAGCAACGCAATGCTTGACTTCTCCATGCCTCAACCTCCTAACAACCATCAAACAATGCAAAATTGTTATATAAAGGGGTAGTACACTAGTGTTGATGCAAAAAACACACACTGGCCTGGGAGATCTGCTTAGCTCCAGTGCAGGTCCAAAGTTTGATGAGATGCGGGCGTGCTAGTCAGTTTGATCCTGCAACTGACAAGATATGTAAACCGTAGATCAAATAGCCGATCTGCTGACAAGCCGATGGAGTAATCTCAGCCGATGCCGATAATAGCCGATGCTGATAGGGTTTTGAGCTATCGGCTATATGTCCAATGTAGATAATGATATAAAGGCAATCGGCTGATGATGATGTAATAAAATAACAATATAATCTAGTAGAAACCAATCGGCTAGCAATGATATGATAGAATAAGCACTGATCCGAAGGTTAAAGCATACATCGGCTGGAGGTCCGATGTCATAAAATCCACAAGATTAGATTAAACAGTGAAACCTTTGTTGTCATCGGCTAAATCCAACTTATATATACAATCCTTATAAGCTGATGTAACGTCCAGATAATTCATCGGCTGAAACCCCGATGAAACCCTTATTGGCAGTCAACAAGCAGGCTAGAGATTATGGTTCTAAGCACAACTTAGTAGATCAAACTTAAGTGATGCAGCACTAAGTATGAAAAGAAACACAATATCTAGACAATCAAGCCCTTGACTGATTTTCAGGGTGGTAGATGCCTAAGCTAATCCAATCTAGCAACACGATTTAGCCGATACCGGCAGAAACCCTAAAGCGAGAAGTAGCCGATAGAGCTAAATTGATATGCTAAGACTAGATTAACAGAGACATACGATAAAGAGGTCGAATATACTGATGCAGCCTTGAACGACGCCGATGTAGATGACAAATTCATCAGGGCCCGACGGAACGTAGGACTTACCCCTTCGCCGGAGATCGAACTGAACCGATGCTGCCCCGCGTCAGGTGCCCAAATTCCGCCGGAAGATAAGTAAAAACCTCGGTAAAGAGGGTGGCGATGCACCGAGAGTAGTTGTATTGATCGAGATTGATAGATTACATAGACCCCGGGTGTACATATTTATACCCATGGGTTGATACAAGTCCTTGTCGGACAGGAAAGAAACTAAAGATAAAAGGAAAAAATAAAGTCCTTATCGGACACACTTTCCTAAAGATAAAAGGAAACTAACAAACTATTCCTAATTAATAGATAACTTGTCATGCCACATCCTCCTTGAACTCAGTCTCTTCTGGATAAGCTTCCTTTACTAGATCAATTTCCTTAACCAAATATAGAAAGAATCCGACAACTGACACTTGATAACTCTCATCGGCTGATTCTAGAACTCCGAAGCCGATACTGATCTTCAGCCGATGATGACTTTAGGGCTTACCAAATTTCACTGTTAACAACTAGTGCTGCCTATTGGTCTACTACTAGAACTCTAGTCTCTAGATTCTAGAAGGGAGAGAGGCCGAGAGGGAGTGAGACAGTGAGTGGACTGTGGAATTGCTCACCGCAGTCCGGAGAGGCGAAGAGCCGAGCCCGAGCCGGAGATGGAGTGGCGCTGGCCGCTGGCCGGCCTGGGCGGCTGCCGGCTGGGTGCTGCTGCGCTGGCTGCTGGCAGCGTCGGCCGTCGGGACTCGGGCGGGGACGGGAGCGGGATGTCGGGACGCCGGGTAGGTGCCGCCGTGCCGAGACGGCGGCGGGAGCAGGACTGCGGCCTGCGGGCAGATTCAAAATCAAGGTGACGACGAACTGCTACTGTTGCTGCCTGTTAGTGATAGAATAGAAAGACCCGAATTGCTCAAGATTGGTCGACCGATCCGGTTCCGGATCGCTCCCCTCCCCTCCTCTCTTCACGTGCGTGTCAGTCCCTCTGGCCCTCACCATATATCTCTTGTTCTCACCTGCCACTTATTTACACACACAACTCCATTAAAAAAAACCTATATATTTTAAAAACCCCCTGTTAAAAAAATTTGGTTTATTTTTTTTATCAAAAATGTTTCACCTAGTGTACTCACAATGTTTCACTATATATAGATCTAATGTTGCAGTGAATTGAAATATTCCATTGTAAAAAAAACTCACATATTTCAGAAACCCCTATTAAGGGAATTCGTTTTATTTTTTTTTCAAAACTGAAACATTTTTCGATCTACTTAGTGAAACAATTCTGATATACCTGGTGTAACATCGTGCAACATTTAAAAATAATTCAATAATAAGCTAAATTTTTTTCGTTGTAATATATCCATGTGTGGTCTTATTTTGAAGATTTAATTGCAACGAATTTAATGGTGCAATCGGATCATGATTTGGATAAGTAATTTAGGAGAAAAATCAGTTTAAAATAGTTTTGCCGATAATTTTTTGCTGATGAATGTCGGCCTTGGCCTATCTCCTAGATCTATATCAACTTCTTCCAAATCATCGGCCGACATGAAACCATGTCCCAACTTGCCATCGAGATCATCCACCGTGCCCTTGGTGTAGAAATTTGAACCCTTCACAACACCCTCAAAGTAATAATTTGGGGTCTCCGTCTTCCATTGGTTGTATATCACAATCGGACACTTTTAGAAAATCTTGATCCCAAACTTTTCCAGACAGGCAATCAATACCATCCATCTCCCAAAGAGCTAAATCGGCACTAGCAACATTAACTGACCTGTTGGCTGGCACAATCTCAATCTTGTCACCTTGCCATTGAACCAAGCACTGGTGCATAGTCGGCTCAATCTGCATGAATCCAATCCCTTCCGAGCAACAAGCTATAAGAACCCTTCCCATCGATGATAAAAAACGTTGTAGGAACAGTTTTACTGCCGACTGTCAGTTCCACATTCAAAACTCCCTTGGTATCCGATGGATTGCCACCAAAATTTTTGAGAACCATGTTTGTCTTGATGAGATCATCTGCATTCCTACCTAGCTTCCTGAATGGTAGCATATGGCATCAAATTTACTGCAGCCCCACCATCAACCATCATTTTAGACATCGGCTTCCCATTGACAAAACAATGGTTTGAGATGCCGATTTTCTGTCCCCTCTGGCTTCTCAAAAAATGCTTGTTCTGGTGACAAAATCAACCTAGCAGAGGCCTCCTCTACATCATCAACATCGGCTTGCCTAGCTTCAAATTCTGTAGGCAATTGTTAACAACCAAATTTGGTAATCCAAGGATCGAAGGTGAAGAAGAAACCAAGATAGAATTCGAGACGGAAATCGTCTAGGAAACAGAGTGAGGATCGACTGGAGTCTGAATCGGCTACAAATAAGATCGGCAGAGTTTGAGTCGGACGGGGTTAGCCGATAGAGCAGAATCCGACAATGTGACACAGCATATGTTGTCGGTTTAGATTGATGTACTTCATGGTGATTGCCGCACACGGATTGAGTCCTGAGAAGTCAATTATATCTATTAATTAGGATGTTTTATGTAATTTCCTTAGAGATATGTTTGGGTAAAAGTCTGCCGCAAAGACTTATAATATCTTAGAGTTTGTTAGAGACAAGAGTCGCGTCCGATATGGACATATCTTGTAATTCTCGGGTATAAATAGACCCGAACCCCATGTAATCGAATTAACACACGTTCAATACAATCTCGGCGCATCGCCACCCTTTTTACTTTCGTTTTGTTTCGACGAGTTCTTACTCTCGGGTTGAGCTGCATCGGTTTCGATCTTCAACAAGAGGTAAAACTTGTTATGGCTGCTTGCGTTCTCGGGATTAGTGCTTCCATCTTTATGATACTCTAATCTTGTTTATGTAATTCGTCGAGTTATCATATATCTTACATAATCTTCGATAATATCGTTATCTAACCTACAATCGGCTAACATCTGCTAGTAGAAGGCAGCTGATTAGATTAAATAACAACGTTGGCTTAGATTATATAAGATATCTACCACTCTATGAAACATCCAGCGGATTGATTGTCTAGATATTGTTCTTCTTTTCATACTTAGTGTTGCATCAGTTGAGTTTGATCTATTAAGTCGTGTTTAGAATCTCAGTCTCTAGCCTGTTTCTGGTTGCCGATTAGGGTAGCATCGGAGTTTCAGCTGATCTTACCTGGTTTAACTACATCTATTCTATATACTTGATTGATATGTTAAATCTGTCCTTTATATTAAGAACTTGTTGCTTTTAAGTATATTAGGCTTTGGTTTAGTATATTTTACTTGTTTTGATATCTTAATATAGAGTGGTATCGGAGTATTAGCCGATACATGCTAGATCTATTTGATCGGCTATGATCATAGTGGAAAAAACCGAACCGGTGAGGGACTCGGACGACCCCTCGGTTCACCGGTCTGACGGTCTGACCGGAGAACCGCCGGTTGAACCGCGGTTCAATAACTAATATATGCAGTATGTATTTCTTCTGTTTAACAAGTGAAAAATCGGTAGGATGGCTAGAGCTAAGAGCTTCCAGTGCAAAGACCCAGGTTCGAGTCTCCACACGCCACTCATTTCTCTGTTTTTTGTACATAAACAGTCGCGTGGGCCTGGACTGGCCTTCATGTAGCCCATTATCCCCTTGGCCCGGTCTGACCAGGGCGGTTTAATGCCCGGTTTATTCAAAACCCGCCCAGTTCAATCCGGATTGAATGCATGTCCGGTCTTTCAGCTCAACCGAACCGTGGAGACCTCTGGTTTTGGTTTTTTCCGGTTCCATTTTTTTCACTATGGTTATGATATGAACACATATAGTCTCGTTGTTAAGTTCCGTTTTTTTCACTATGGTTATGATATGAACACATATAGTCTCGTTGTTAATATATACTTCGACCTAAGTGATTTATACTGTCTCGTCTTGGCGACCGATCTATCTCAATCACTTGATTTAAGTATACATTGACATAAAGACTACATATTGTTAATGTCTACAGACGATCGAGTAGATTTAGTTCTTTCTCGCTTATTAATGACTGCCGATCGATGCATATATGACATCGGCTCCAAGATTAATGATATGCCATCGGCACCCA